GCACCATTCCAACGAAACTGAAGCCATTCTTCCCAGACCTGTTTTCCTTTCTGGGTTTCTCTCCAGGTGGCTCACGTTGGGAAATGCTTATCTGCCTAAGCTGTGAGAAGTGGAGTTAGGTGGTGACTCTACCTGTTTGTAGTCAGCTATATTTGCATTCTCTGACGGTGCTGCATGGGAGGGGTTGTAGGGTGCGTGCACGTGAGTGTGTGTGTGTTTGTGTGTGTGAGTGAGTATGTGTAGTAGTGGGGTGGGTGCATTTTGGAAGCATCCAAATCCTCAATCATGGGAATATTAAAAAAAAAATCTTCCAAGCTTTTAATGGCTGAACAATAATGAACATTTGATTGCACAGAGCTTTGTATATGATTAAGAAAAAAGGTTAGAATTAAGTCATCTGTATCGAAGACCGTAAAAGGGAAAGTGCTGTTTAATCTGGTCTCTAAATTAGTCTCAACAATGCCTACTATGTGGATCAACCAGGATTGGAGCTACCTCCGAACTATGTTTGGAACAAAAGCTTCAAATGTAGAAACAGCTGTAAGATCCGGTTTATGACTTTGAGGGCCAACTCCACAGCTTTTAAGATCGCCCCTCCCCGCCTTGCCTTGTCTCTTGGGACCAATTTCTCCCTCTTATTTGGCCAAACTTTGATCTTAGAGTGGAGAAAGAGAATGAAATACTACTACTAGTAGTAGCAAATATTTCTTAAGTGCTGATTACGTGCTGGGCGCTATGCTTTTCATACGCTCTCACCTCTACCCATACAACACTCTACAGAGGTGCTCTGTTTTTCTCAGGAGGAAACTGATACTTAGAGAGGTTAATTAACTTGCTCAAGGTCACATAACTAGCAAATGACAGGCAGAGTTAAAAATCAGACATGCCTGACTCCAGAGCCTGTGCTCTTAATTGGACAGATCCAAAGAGGTCAAGTTTATTACAAATACTCCCAGCTTTTGCTTTCTTTATTCTTTCCCTCACTCAGTTCCTTCGTGCATTGAGAAAAGGGCTCTGACCTTTCCATTTCAGGACACCCAATGCTAGTATCTTCTCTTCTCCTATCAATACTTAACACTGAGAAAGGACATGCTGCCTGTTTCAGTTTAGCATGACTCCCTGCTTGTGGGTTTCCTCCTCTAGGCAAGGATATTAATAAGTTGTAGATCTAAGCCTCATTTTCTAAGTCTTAGCTACTCACCGCATCAAAGGCAGTATAAAGTAGTAGATACACAAACACACATGGCTTGGAAGAGTCTCTTAGGTTCAAGTTCTGGCTTTGCCATTCAATACTCTGACTTGTGTAAAAAGTTATCAGTAAATAGAAAGCTCAATTAAATAGAGTCAGGAGACCAGAAAGGGGAGCTCTCACACCATGCAATAATAGCAGAGCCCAACAGAAAGAAGGAAAATGCCTCCTCTTCCCTGGCAAGGACTCAGCTAAAAAAAGCCATGCACTCTCGGTTTACTATAGCTGCCCAACTTCCCTTTCCCCTCTCTAAAAGGGTTCTCCTTCCCTTGCCATGTGGAGACTTGCACATGGCTCACCGTACCTGCAGACCTTGAGCTGCAATTCTCTGTGGATCCCAGTTAAACCCTTCTTTGTTGGAGAGATATCTGGCAGTCCATTTATTTTGTTCAACACTTGAGTTAAGTTATTTGACCTCTATAAATCATAAAGTAGGGATAATAAGCTACCTCCAGGACTATTCATTCAATCTATAGACATTTATTGAGCACTGTGTCAGATCCTGGAGATACAGGGCTATGAGATTTAAATGAAGTAATATATGTGGGGTGCTTGGTACAGGACCAGCAGATAGTAAAGGCTTACTGATAAAGAGTAGTTATAAAAAGTAGAACACATGCTATTTCTCTAATATCTATCACTGGGCAGGACACAGAGGAATGAAGTGTTTTCTGAATAGAAAGGATCTTGTATAATTGAGCACATCCTTCCCTTGCCTGAGGCCAGCCCCCAAATTTTAAATAACAGCTATAGTGGATATTTCTTGAACACTCAACATGCACTTTGCATGAATTAACTCATGTATTCCTCAGAACCTCCTGAAGCAGGTTTTCTTATATCCTCATTTTATAGAGAGAGAAATTGAGGCCCAGAGAAGTTAAGCAACTTGTCTGAAATATCACAGCTAGTAAATCTGGGCTGAGATCTGAACCAGCTAGCCTGACTCCAAAGCCAGTGATCTCATCACCTCTCTAAACTCACCACCCTGGATTTGCCTCTGATTTCTGCATCTCATGTCTGTGTAGAAGCCCTAAGCAGCTCCAGAGGGAGACACACTCAGACAGGGGATGGTTAGAAAGGCTGTGGTGTTCTGGGGAGATGTCTTTGGAGACCCTATGTTCCCTGGTTCTTCTCAGAGGTATTTCACTGCTCCCCACCCACTTTACACCTCTTCCTGCTATGTCTCTATGGTATCACCTAAGACCAAACCAGCTCATCCTGAAAAGCAGAGCCCAGGAGTGGAGGCGTTGGCAGCCCCGGCCTGTGTGGGAGGCGTGGCTACGGCTGTCGCTGCCAAAGGCTAAGGCTGCTCTTTCCGCACAGCCTCTGCTCCTTTGCAGTCTTGTTTCCGGGTTTGGCTGCCTGAGGCCTGAGTGATGCCAGGCCCACCTGCCTTGCCCCGAGTCTGCTCACTGCCTGATGTGTGCAGGCTGCTCCTGCTGTGGGAGCCACCCTCAGACTCAACACACATAACCTGTGCAGTGCCTGGTTTAATGCCCTGCTGTCTCCATCTTGAAATTCATGATTTTTGAACAAGGGGTCTGCACCGGACCTCACAAATTATGCAGCTGGTCCTGCTGAGACCCATCTCAGGCCTCAGGGAGCAGTATGCCTCCCCTGCACATGATTCTGAAGGGATTCACAGGGGAGTCTGGAGGAGACATCAGGTAGGCAGGAGTCCTAATTTCAGGCTTGTGTTCACAAGGTCAAAGCAGACTTGTGGACCATAGGAAGCCAGAGAATGGATTCAAATGTTTCTTTGGCTGATGTGAATTTATCATGTTACCATCAATTTTTCCAGTTATTCCCATATATAAACGTAATGCCCACTGAATGTGCAGTTTCTGAGTAGGAGGAATGCTGGAGTTAAGGGTCAACCCAACTTAAGCAGAGAAACAAACCTGCTGTCTCTATGTCTTAAATTCTTTCCTACTTGCCTGCCACAGCCTGAAGTCCCATCCTTCTTAAATCCTTTCTTCCGATCCTGCCAGTACACCAGACCCCTGCTCAAGTGCAAATGTTTCTGCCTTCTCAGAGCTTGCCGCCTCAGTTAGCAGCCCTGCCCCATGCTCCCCATCACTCTACATCTCCCACCTCCCCTTTCCTATTAGCCCTTTCCTCTCAGTCTTAAGGTGGAGGTCCTGCCTGTACCCACAGTCCTGCCACTCAGGCAAACCATGTTCTAATTCTCTCCTTTCTCTCCCGGCTCTGCTCAGCTACTGCCAGCTCCTCACCTTCCGACCTTTCCATCCTCATCTCCTGCTCTCTGGCTCCATTGTCTCAATGATTAAATCTGCCACCTTAAAGATTACCCATGCAGGTTCAGAATTTCATCAGCCTTGATCTTCTAGAAAGAGGGCCACATTATGACTTCTGGGGGCCCGAGGCCTTCAGGAGCCCTTCCTCCGTTAAAAAATAAACATTAAAGATTATCTCTGAAGACTGTGTTGTTATAAAGATAAGCATAATCCAGTCAAGATTGTTTTCATTTTTTAAAAATTCCTATTTTAAAGTATATTAAAACATGTCCATGGGCCCCTAAAGTATTGCGGGCCCTGGGCCCTGCCATTGAGCTTAGTGGAGAGACCATTCCTGCTGTGAAGGCCAGGGTGGCATTGAGGAAAAAGCCTTCACAAAATCTTTTACATCTGGGAAACCATATTACTTTTTGTTTCTAGTGTTCCTTTCATTGGGAAAACAACAGTTATAAAGAAAATTTTAAGAAAACAACTGACTCAGAATCTCATAGTCTGACACCATGCTTCATCTGTAATTCACTTCCTTGTCCAGATGCAAAGCTATTTTACACAGCTGACAGTTGTGTTTACACAGTTCTGTTTTCTGCTTATTCCACTTAATGTTGTTTTATTGAAAATATTTTCCATGTTTCTACAAGGGTCTTTCTAACCATCAAGTTGACTTACGGTGATTGACTTACTTTACCCCCTCTGTTGGTTTCCCATTCTTTTCAGACTCTGCTTTCTTTGTCTGTTTTTATAGCTTCCTCTTCCTCATTTCACAGATTTAGTCTGACCCACCTGATCATTCTGTATATCCTCCCCACTCCAGGAAGTCTGATTCATGGCTGCAACTATTGGCTTTATAGGGCTGAGGAAAAAGGGCTTTGCAGTGGCAGTTAGTGTTCAGTGATCTGTGTATGTGACCCGCTCAAGCCCTTTCACACTGCATGGCTCGCACGCGGGAGCCAGCCAGGCCGTGGGGCAAGGTGTTAAACTCTGTACTCTAGTAATGGGGTCAGAGTGTCAGAGCCTGAAGGTAACAGATGATTCTGTCCAACTTCATTATTTTATAGATAAGGAAACTGAGGTTCAAAGAGGTTAACAGACTTGATCATGGTTCTGGAACCAGGGAGCAGGGATTTGGAATTTCATTCCGTGACCTCAAAGTCTCATGCTCTTTCTTCAACAGCATCCATTCTGAATTTGTTGGAGAGGAATTTTATCTTATATTGCTGTACCACCAGAATGAGAATTGATATTATGGAATTACATTTACAATTATTTTATTGCCAAATTTATCTGAATATTGTCTAATGTCTAATGGGAAGAAAAAGACTTCATAGCACAATTTTCAGTTAGGTCCATACTTTGAAATTGCCTGGGCTATCACAGAAGTGCTTTAGTGCTTCACGTTCTGTCTACTGTAACTTCACTTGAACTGCTAATGTTCACTTTGTCGCTAGTTGATTCACTTATTACTACTATCACACAGTCATAAAAGCTGAGCTTACCTGTTCAGAGATAAAGAGCAGATCAGTCTTTGTCCCAAAATAACCAGGCCAACACTGGTACTAGCAACCTGAGGACAACAAAAGCATTCATTATTAGGATGACTGAATTTGTCCATTTTGGCCACTAATAAATTTCCTGCAGTGGAAACATAAACTTCAATTTCCCTCTCATCCCAGGAGACACTGACTATCTACAAAGAATTTTTGTTTGAAGATCTCCTTTAAATTATGTTTTCTTTCCTCCCGATCTCTCTTTTCCATGTACTGTGTGTGTGTGTGTGACATTTTGCTTATGTTCATTGTTCCAGTCATTTTCTGCTGGATTGCATTTGGTCATCGTCTTCTCAAATAAACGCGAATTCCATCTCGATTGAGTTATTTCGAGAAAAAAAGGAAATTTGGTTATCAATGTAACTGAAGCAGGGGGAAGGGCACACAAGAAGCGGAGAAGGGTGGAGAGCTAGTTTACATGTTTGGGGGTTTGAGCACTGGCCTCCCATACCTACCCTGTCTCCTCACCCCTAACTGAAGTATCAACCCTGTCCTCACCCCTAGTTGATATATCATATTCCACCCCTCCCAACATTTAATAGGCCCTGCTGGTAGGTGGTCTACCACAGGAACCAGACTGGTATCCACAGGAGCCCTCCAGTCCCTGTAGACTTACAAAGTCCATGGAAACGATGGTTTCAGCAGTCGAGTTCTTGGATTGGGTGAGTATCATGATGGAGGCAGGGATGTCTAGGGTGAAGTTACCTGGTAGTAAATTGATCACAGGAGGCTCTGTTGCCATGACCCGTACCATGAAGGGCTGGGACAAGATGTAGAGCTCTGCAATCTGCCCACATTCAGGGAAGGAAACAGAGATTGGGAGTCATGAGTTGAAGAGGGGAAATCATAAATTTGGGGTGGCTGGTGGTGATTAAATTTTACATCATGCAGTCAGAATAGAAAAAAAACTCTTTAATAATAATACCAATAATAGCAAAATAATAATAATAACAGCTGACATTTACTGAACACATATAGTATGTCAGGCACCATGTCAGGACTTTCAGTATTATCTCATTTAATCTTCACAAAAATCCCTGAGACAGGTTCTAACAGAATTCCATTTCACAACTGAAGAAAGTGAGTCATAGGTTAAGTAATTTTCTCAAGGTCTCAGGTGAGTAAGTCGTAGGACTGGGATTAAAATCTAGATCTGTGTGACTCAAGATCCTTCCTCTAAACCCAAGATGCTATGGGAGCACCTTTGTCCTCCAGGGCAAACCTGAGCCTTTCAGTTACTGTCTAATACTCAGGTGCTGTGACAGCATGATACTAACAGCTGCTTTACTAAAGTCATAAATGTTCCTTCCTTTCCCAGTTAAGCTAATTATTTCAAGTGTGGTGGAACCTTATGGAAGGAACAGATGATTTATTTTGTGAACTTACAACGTCTTTCCTAGTAACGTGTACTGTTCAGTAAATATTTGTGGATCTCTGATTAAAAGAAAAAACTCTTTAAGAATGGAAATATGGACTCCAGCTTGGACCAAAAGGAATATAAAGAACCTACAGTGAGGAGGGTATAGATCAGTGGTAGAGTACATGCTTAGCATGCGTGATGTCCTGGGTTCAATTCCCAGTACCCCCTCTAAAAATAAATAAATAAACCTAATTGCCTCCTCACACTCTGCCAAAAAAAATTAAAAAAAAAAGAACCTACAAGTATTCCAGAAGTAACTGCAATGAAACCAAATACACCATCAAGGAGTCAAACCCTGTGCACTCACCCGGGAAAGCACATTGCCAAGACCTTGAGAGTTTTGAATCAAATGGTTGGAAATCTGAAACATCAAGATCATCATATCACTATAAGGTTTTTAGCAGGGTTGTCTTTTTAGGGAAAACATAGCATTCCTTATAGTTTTTATAAATCATGAAGCTGTTGCCCCCAAAATGCCTAATGTTTTATAGCCCAACCACAGGAAATCTGAGGCCGAGAGAAGTGACGTGACCTGCCCTAGGTCACACAGGAAGTTACACTGCTTTTCAGAGAGTGCCTTTTAACCTTGGGAACACAGTGTATGTTATATATATATATGATCCATGTGTAAACATTTTACAGTGGTTAACAGTAAGTCTTGTGTTATTTTCATTTTCAGAGATTACTGAGACATATGTTATATAAGTAATTTATCTTCACAGATGAATGGTTTTCAAGTCTGAAGCTAAAAGTGTCTAATTCTCAGCACTTATGGTATCTGGTGTTGCCGTCAGTATTTTGAACATAAGATTTACAATTACCTGTATAATTAAGACCCAGGGAATGAAAAGATTCATGAGGGATGCTCAGTAAAAGTTGTGGTTGACTGACTGGAGAGAGAGTGTTCTCATTATACAAGGGAGGGCATGGCAAAGAGAATCATTGGGCTTCTGTGCTATTTACTGGTCACTGTAGATGTCAGCTGCAGTTACCAACAGGAGAAATCTTTATGTTGGCACACCACAAATAATGATAATAATAATAGTAATGAACACTTACGGGGCACTTACTCTGTGGCAGGCACTGGTCTAAATGCTTTATATATATTTAAACCTTTTTAATACCCATAACAACTCTATGAGTATGGAATTATTATTATCCCCATTTTCCAAATGATGAAACTCTTGCACAGAGAAGTTAAGTACATTGAAACTGCCAGATTTTCACAGGTATTTGTCACAGGTAATAAGTAGTGGAGGGGGTTCCTGGCATTATTTAAGATCAGTCTAGAACAGTGGCCCAGTATCATTAAAAAAACTGAAATTAGCAGAACTGGAAACCCAACAACTCCCCAACTAACAGCAACATTCATTCCACAATCCCTTCATTCATAGTCCTGCTGGGAGTGATAGTCTACAAAGGCACAGGAATAGGGACTATGACATAAAAAACCCCATAATTGGATACTTATAATAAAATTAAATATTGGTGCTGACTGTCCTCATCCATTAACTCTCCTCACCTCTTTCGTGGTGAGAGTGACACTGAAAGCCCCCGCTGTAAAATAAGCATAGGATGCAGATTTAAAGAAATACTTGGAGATTCCAATGTAGAGCATAGAGTCACTGCGCTCTGGGAGCACAAAAGGAACTGATGGGAAGGGGGGATCTGCGAGGTTTTCCTGTGGGTAGAATACGCCCTGTGGGAAAACAGAAAGAAAGACCGGTGTATCAGATGAAGACTCACACGTGCAGGACTGAAGAAGGCAGACCACTCAAGTCAGAATAAGGAAAACTCAAGAAACTCAATAGGGATGAAAAAAACCTTGAATCCTCTGACTCCTTAATTGGGTAGGGACTATGTTTCAAAGCTCTGATGACTTCTTGAGCATATCTGAGTGTGTCTGTCCACCCTGGGGTGTAATCCAGTGAGAGATTCCTTGTTAGTCCTCTTCTCAGAGAAAGGAAGGCGGGTACATGTTGCTGGAGGGGACAGCTCTGAATAGTTCTTGAGGTGCCATGTAGAGATGTCAAAATCCATGACTGTTGAGCATCGGGGGCATCATAGAAAGACTCAGAAGGACCCAGGACTCTAAATGGCTCAAAGCATTTTTTGTGGCATTCTTAATACTGCCCTTATTAGCTATAGGTTGTTATTACAAAATGGTGTCTTGTGTAACATTTAACTGACTTTAATGACTCTTGAGTGATTAAAATATAAACCAATATGCATTAAAAAATGACATTAACTTTGGGGCAAAAGCACACTTTTCCAGAATCAACAGACATCATTATCATATGCTAATGGTCCTGAAAGGTCAGTAGCCCTCAGTTAAACTGACTAACTACAGAGTTAGGAATAGAAGTATCAATAGTTACAATCTACTGATCTGGTGGTGAGTTCTAATAAATGCAGACTATTCTGCTTGCTGCCTTCCAGCCTCAGACCTTACTCCCAGAGGCAGACACCATGATGCTTTTCTTGAAGAAGGCAGGGATATGTTAGGTAATTCAGTCATTTATCAATCAAGAAAATGTTCAAGAGTCTTTTAGAAGAGCATAAACACAAGAAAATTGCTTGAAAGAAAATTAAATTATTGGAAGAGAATGTAGTTAATACTTTTTTTCTGCAAATAATATTTGTTCCTTGAATACTGACTGTTGATAGTCAAGATTAGGACTCTGGTGATGATCAAGTTACCTTCAAGTTCAGTTCAATGTAATTCTCAGTAATTTCTGGAGAACTGATTAGGGAATAATCCAGCAGAGTGTAGTTGTCAATCTTGGTTAAAACTAAATAACAAGCAAAGAAAAAAGAAAATTTACATTTATTGAAGACATAGAATAACACACTGTTAATGTTTACCCAGGACAATATAAATTTTTTTATTGTTGTATTATATTTACTCATTTCAACCAAAATACAAGTCTCTTCAAGCAGTTTATAGAATAGTTCAGGATTGGCTTTTATTTAGGAGGTTTGCTGAGTAGCTTCTCAGCTCCTACATATTCTTAGTAGCTAACTAATTCATACATGTTCTAACTTAATTTATTTTTATTTATTTATTTATTTTTACCGAAGTATAGCTTGATTTACAATGTTGTGTTAGTTACTGGTGTACAGTAAAGTGATTCAGTTACATATATATGCATATATATATATATTCTTTTTCATGTTCTTTTCCATTATAGATTATTCCAAGATGTTGAATATAGGTCCCTGTGCTATACAGTAGGACCTTGTTGTTTATATATTTTATATATAGTAGCTTGTATCTGCTAAGCCCAAACTTCTAATTTCTCTCTCCCATCCCTTTTCCCCTCTGTAAGCATAAGTTTGTTTTCTATGTCTGTGAGTCTGTTTCTGTTTTGTAAGTAAGTTCATTTGTATCATATTTTAGATTCTACATATATGTCTTTCTCTGTCTGACTTAGCTTCCCTTAGTATAATTTCTAGGTCCATTCCAGAACAATATAATTTTTAATCTTCTACTATTTAAAACAAGAATTAACCATTATCCTACTTCATAAATAATACATGCTCACTTTTCAGAACCCAGGAAAAGTAAGTAAGTCAAAGAAAGTAAAAACTCTTCTTAATTACATTGCTCTGAGAGAAACATTAGTTAAAATATCGGTGTACAGCCCTTTTATGCATGCATGCACACAAACACAACACATATGCAATACATATATACTTCTTTTTTCCAAAAAGGAAATTAGACAAACAAAAGTCACTTATCAATATAAAGCTAACTATATCAGGTTAGTATAATGAGAGACTTTCAAGTCCTATGTGACAGCCTTCTACGTCAGTATTAGAACTTTATTTTTACAATGAGTATGTATTACAGTTGTAATTAAAAATAATTTTTAAAGAGAAAGACAGATAGACAGACAGGAATAAAATTCCCTAAGTTGGAGAGGCCAAGAAAATTCTCATGCACAATGCTACTAATTTAATTCATTTTTTGGTATCATCATTTTCAAAGCAAAGCAGAAGTCCAGGGGACCAGGGGACAATAGGTAGGGTTTGCAAGAAACATAGATTTCTGAGTCTGTGGCAGGTTGTACATGCAGTGGTGCACAGCTTTGGTTTCCAGCCTGACCTGGGAGCGCTGCTTTCCTGACCACCACCATGTGATATGATGACTTCCTCCCTGTTCTAGAGGAAGGTACATCACTTTTTGCATCCCATGTTTGGTTTAATCCGTAGATGGTGGTGAGAAACAAGAGATGAAGTGACTTGCTAAGGTGAGAACAATACTACCCTATATCACTATAGTTTTTAAAAATGTTTTCAAATTCACAATCTCAATAGATCCCATCACTATGCTGTGAGGGAAGCAGGACCACGAGGGGAGTGAGGCTCCCAGAGGTAAAGAAATTTGCCCAAGGCAAACTGGATCCTCGACTGGTTCTTTATTCACTACATCTTCTTTCTCTTTCCCTACGTCCCCAACCCATTCTTTTTTTTCCCCCTCATCCATCTGCATCCACTCATTGATCCATTTGTCCAGCCACCATCTCCTTCCATCCCTTTATCAGTCTAATGTTTATTATGCTAGTGTGGGTTAGTGCTTGGTGTTGGGGACACAGAGAAGAGTCAAAGGCTCTGCCCTCTGGAGGAGGAGACAGGCGTATTAATAGGAAATTATAATACAATGTAATCAGAGCAGATCTAAAACTGAACTCCTGACAGTCCTACTACACACCTATTCTTACAGTCTTCCCCATCTTGCTAAATGGTAATTGTATTCTTCCAATTTTCTTGTTGCTCAGTGTAAAACCTGAGGTCATCCTTGACTTCCCTCATGACCTGCACTCAATGTGTCAGCAAAAGCCACTGTCTCTACTGTCCAGGGACATCCGAACACATCTCACCACCTCCATCACTCCATCTAGGCTGCTGTCATCCTTGCTTGTAAGGGTCACTGCAGTTGACTCTTAAGTGGTCTCCCTGCTTCTACTCTTGACTCCTTGCCTATTATTAATAGATAGAAGCCAGAGTGATCTTCTAAAAACCGAAGTTGGATCATGCAAGCTATGCTCGAAACTCTCCAAAGGGAGAACAGCTTGGATGAAGAGCCAGCCTCCGTGATGACCTACAGAGCCCTGAAGACCTAACCATCTGCTCTCCCCTCTCTGACCCCATCTCCTATTACTTACCACCTTGCTTCCTCTGCTCCTGGTATGGACTCCTCCCAGTCCCTCCAACACATTTGGCATGCTCCCACTTGGGCCTTTGAGCTTACAGTTTCCTCTACCTGGAATGTTCTTTGTGCAGATCTAGGAGCAGCTCACCCACTACCTCATTCAGGTCCTTATTCCAATGCCACTTGCTCAGGGGTACCTCCGCTGGCCTTGCTGTTTTAGACAAAAACCTCTCACCAGCTCCTTCCCTGCTTTATTTTTCTTCTTACAATTTACCACAGCAATACAATGGATTGACTTATTATCTTGCTGTCTGTCTGTCTCATAGTCCCCTGAGGGAAGGGATTTTTATCTCCTAGGCTTCTGTTCTATCTTCAGCACCAAGAGCAGCACCCAGACTATTACCAGTGCTCAGTACACCACTGGGGGATGAGTAGATGGAGTACAAAGAAAGAGACCCTCCTGAAGTATCATGTGAGTAATGAGAAAGTGGAAACTTGGGGTGCAGGCTGTCAGGGAAGGTTTCTTGGAAGAGCTATGCCTGAGCTGAGCCTTGAAAGATAAAGAGGAGTGAACAGGACAGGGGATGGCTGAGAGTTAGGGAGAGGAGGGGGCTCAGCATAGTTCTGGCAAAGAAATAGGTATTCAGTAAATGTCTCTTAAGTGAATAGATGGATGAAAGGGAGAGAATGCTCTTCTAGGTGGAGAGGGCAGCATGACTGGAGGCAAGGGTGTGAGGCAGTAGAAGCAGTTTGATGGCTGGAGCAGAGAAAGGTGCAAGATGAAGTCGAGAGAGGTAAGAGGGAGCCACAGCATGGTGGGTGGAGCTTGTAGTCCATGCTAAGGCATTTGGACTTGATCCTGAAGGCAGCTGTAGGAGCCACTGAAGAGGTCAGAACCAAAGGATAACTGGTCAGGATAAGCATTCATCATTCTGAAGAGGATGGATTTAGTGCCAGAGCTGGATTCAAGCTCGTGAGAGTTTAACTCTCTGCCCTGCATCTAGTCTCCTGAAGCTACCCCCTCCTGCAGAAAAGAGCAGGCCCCACACACGGGCTGCATCCTCCCACACAGGGTGCTAGTTGGCAGAGAGGAAAGCAGACTGAAGAGCTGGAGAAAAGCAAACCTGGAGAGCCCCTGAGTTTGAAGGTGGGAGGAGAAGCACCTGGAAGAGACAGTTCTGGTACTCACCCTTCAGCATGCTGAGGTTGGCATTCAGTGCCTCCACCTCATGTATGATGATGGGACAGAGCTGGCCACAAATGAAAAAAACAAAAAGCACCGCAGGTTATCATATTGTACTGGGAAGCTTTAAGGGCCTAGGCCCTGCCAGCAAAGGCCTTTTGGTTAGGAGACATTCTTCCTTTGGTCATCAAGACTTTCTCTTAAATTAGCTGATGTCTATGGGCCTCAGGTTACGTGTGTATGGGTAATGCTGGAATGCTGGCTCAACTTCCTAGCAACCTGGACTACACCCAGTTAGTCCCATAAAAGAACGAGCCCTTGGTTTTTCTTTCTGTGGCAGGACAGGACATGCGCCCCAGTCCACGCTGGTGCTGTGACACCTGGGGAACCTGCTGCCGGCACAGCTGTGCCTCTCCTGACTGCAGGGATGCCGCCACCTCCCACCTCCGCTGCCAGGGAGGGTTAGAGCCCATGAGATCAGACGTCTATTTAGATCAGAACCCCTTTTTGAATTAGAAAATCAATCTTGAATCGGACACAAGCACACCTTTAGGAAGGACGAAGAGCACCAACATTGATACAGTGTGCCAGGCATGTGTTAAGCATTTAGTATGGTGGTTCTGAGCAGAGGCTCAAGAGCCTGGCTGCCTGGGGTTGGATGCTTTGGCAAGTTACTCATGCTGTCTAGCCTGTTTCCTCATCTGCAACATGGGGTAATAGCTGTATCTACTGTATCAGGTTATTGTGAGTAGAAATTGAGGCAATCCACATAAAGTTGCCCAGCTCATAGTAAGCATTCAGTAAATGTCAGCTGTTGCTGTTTTAACCTCATTTCATCCTCACTACAGCCCTGAGAGGTGGGCACTACTGTCCCCTCTTTACAGATGGGCAAACTGAAGCTTAGAGAGGTTAAGCTAGTTGCCAGGGGTTACATCAGCAGGATCTGAAGTCTGATCTGACATGGCTAGACAGCTGTGGTCTGAGCATTCTTTTCTTTTTCCAGCAGCATGGAGGGAATCCTAGAAGCAAAGCATCTATGATCTGTAAGTCATATACAGGCTTCAGGCAAACTTAACTATTGGCTTCTTGTCATGGCCAAAGAACCATGCCTTATCTCAAACAAAGGAATGATCAAGTGTGGGGCCCTTGAAGATGACAGCACTATTTCCCAGTCACTCTTTAATATGCACGTTCACTGGCACTCAGTGCCTTTCAGGTAAGGATGGAGAAACACTGCAACGCTTTAGAGACCCCTGACCAACTGGGCAACCTTGTTGGACAAGCTGCTTGATGTTATTGTACGTTGATTTCCTCACTGACATTCATTGAACACTTACCACCTCCCAAGCACTGAATTGAGCACAAGGGAGATGGAGACAGCTGGACATCATCCTTGCCCCTCTTCTCCAGAAATAAATCTCCTTCCTTTTCCCATCCTACTCACCCCTCTCCTTGTCTCTCCAGAAATATTAGTAAAGTGTTCAGGGAAGATAATGTCAGGATTGGAAAGAGGGCACGCAGTCGATTCTCTTTCCCTTTCTTGACCACTGACTTCTGGAATTGAGATACTTGGAGGCTATCTTAACTTACAGTGTTTCAGTTGGCTGGAAATATCCTTTCTTCTTTCTCATTCCTTACCTATCAAAATTCTACCTATACTTCAAGGCCTAGTTCAAGTCCTGCACCCTCCAAAAATATCTCCCAGGATATTTCTAGGCTCTATTTATTTAGTTTTTCCATTTCTCTGAATCCCTTCAGTTTAATCTAATGACCATGGAAGTATGTATGAAATTCATTTATTGTTTCATAAGCCTGAGTTGGGTTTTCTTAAAAAGGTAAGTTTATTCCTTTTTCATATCCTCAACAGACTCCAGCCTAGTGCTGGACACATAGCAGGTACACAATAAAAAAACTCTTTTTGGCTGTTTGCCCACCTTATGGTGAGGACTTGAGGGAGTGCTATTTTATTTTCCTCTGCATCCCCAACACCTACCATAATGTTTGGCACATAGTAGGCACTTGATAAACTATTATTAAGTTGCAAAGGATAATGTGTGTGAAAGTGCCTTGGATGGTGCTCACAGTACGTGCTCAGGAAAGGTTTACTGACTAAGAATTAATGAAAGCATGGCAGAACTGCTGCTGCTGGCATGTTACTGTGGATGTGTATCCTCTAAAGACTTACCATTTCATTTAAGTTCTTTAAAATGGGTTTCTCCATGGGCTCAGCAAAGGAGTTATACAGGACACTATGGAAAAAAAAGATTTAAAAAGGGCTTACACAGAATGATATCTACCAGTTAATAACCACCCCAAGGTGCTGCCTGAGACTCCAGCCCCGGACTGACCCCTGTGCCCCATGACACTCTCCCTCACCTGAACTCTCCAGAAAATGAGACGTCAGCGTGGCTCACTTGGGCATAGCAGTCTTGGAGCTTCAGGACTGGGTGACCAAAGCTATTCCGAGACAGGATAAGGATACCGGTGAAGTAGACCTCAGAGAGAAACAGGTCAGCTCCTCCTGTGTCTTGGCTGTTGAGAGAAAAAGTGCAAGGTTACCCAGGCCTGGGCAGGGGTGGAGATGGATCGTGTTTCTCTGATTACCCACAGGCTCTAAGCTCCTGGAGCTCAGGAACTTTGTCACCTCTGGATTCTTGGCACCCACAATAGGTAGGAGCAGAATTGGTGCTGAATGGATGGATATTCACTGAGCAAATGAGGTAACAAATATGTGAATGGTGGCAGCTCTAGGGACATTGCAGTAATTTCATCCTGAGTCTCTGGTCCTCATAGTGGTTAAACATGTATTGAACACCATTCATATATGATGCTTGTTTGGAGAGAGAACATGGGGGGAAAGTTGACCACACCTTATTTAGGAGGGGGATGGATGGGGAGGTGACATTTAGATATAGTCTGTGAACTCCTTACAGGAGTGGTGTTATTCATCTCCACATCCCGGGGTTTAGCTTGTGGCCTGACACAGAATAGGCACTCAATCTATGGTTGATGAGTCAGCGACGAAATGAATAATACATGAATCTACATTTCTTACAGGGGAACATGTCATTTCTCTACTGTCTACAAGACTGGAGTTTTTGAGATGGGGATGAGTGGTACTCGGTATCATTTATAAATGGATAAATGGATGTTGAATGAGCAAGTGGATGAATGAATGTGTTATTATGGGGCATCAACCAAAGCAGACCTAACATTACACCCAGGACAGTGACTTGCACTTAATACGTGGTTTGTAAGCATACCTTGAATTTGATTTTTTCCTTCCTGTATGAGGATGCAAAGCCCTTTTGGTAGGGGGAGAAATGGGTTCAAGCTAACTACCATCCTCCAACCTCCCTGTGAAGCAGGAAGGCTCCATTTCCCATCAGTTGGCCCTACAGATGGGGAAGTGTGTTCAAAGACTAGCTCAAGATCAGACAGTGACTCACTGGGGCTCTAAAATGTCAAGCGCATGCCCATGCCCCTAACAGCCAGGGGCTTCTAGCTCTTAGGAAATCTTAGATGACATATTGATCAGTGGCTCTGCCTTTAAGGGAAGGATGCTTTTCAGCCCCTTACCCCCTGCTCTCAGCAGAGATATTCTGACTTAAGTCTGTCCTGGAAAAATGCTCTTAAGAAAGATGGTTAATGGCAGAGGGAAAGAAGCCAAAAACACTGGCAAATTTATACATTTTAGATTTTTGCTCCATTTCCCCCCAGAACAGCAGCAGACTTTTCAGCGGAATACTCACAAAAGTGGAGACTTGATATCCCAGTCTGTGCTGATGTTGGCAGTGCCGTGGTTGGTCAGTGCCCTGATTCCCACCCCAGGCACAAAGGCTAGTGAAGTATTTGGAAATGAAAAGGCAGTGATTTTTATACTGTAAAACAAGAAACAGAAGAATTAGTGCAACTCTTCTAGCACATCTCTAAGTAAGGCAAAATCAGAAATGCAGTTGGAGAACTCTCGAGGTGGGCAATTGTGAATTCCTGTAGAGGAAGGACCCTCAGTGCTACAGTGCAGCCTCTGGGCACCACCCTCTAATTCCCCTCATGCCTCTCTCATACCTCTGGCAGGAAGCTCCTTGCATCTAGTTGAGGGGAGAAATAAGAAAGTTTAGAAACAAATTTGCAAATAATCAATCTGCTTCTTTAGTTTCTTTAAAGACAAAAAGAGGTACAACTTTGCTGTCATTATTTTTCCTTTTGGCTGTTACACTTATTTCTCAATGGGAGAAACATTAGTATTTTGAATGGGACAACTGTTTTTTTAATAGAGGATTGTTATACACATTGCAGGATATTTGGCATATGTACCAACTAAATGCCACCCTGTCCCCATCATCAGGACAATCGACAGCATGCCTTCCTCCCAAATGCCCTCCATGTGGACAGTATCTCCCCTAGTTGAGAGATTTATTTTAGAGCATTAACTCTCCCTAGGATTCTTTGAGCTGTCAATCACGTATCTAGGAGGCAGTCAGTGGCATACAATGTACATAGGTCGATGGCCACATGCATTATGACAAGCTATATGACCATTGATTGAGCGATTCCTACCAGCTAGGTACCATGATAATACGTGCATTAGCTCATTTTAACCCTCACAATAATCCTATGAGGCTGTTGCTGTTTTTGCAATCTGCAATTCAGAAATGGGAAGAAACAAAACTTGGCTAAAGTCATATATCAGAGGTAGAACCAGACCTAGAACCCTCCTCAATCTGTCTTTAGGCTTCTTAACCACTAGGCTATGGCACTTCATGAATTGAGCAAAGGCACTTGATTCGGAGCCAAGTTTTGTGCTAGCTGTACAACCTGGGGTAAGGCACTTAGCCTCTTTCAGTCAGTCACTCAAAAGAGGTGTTACTCATGGGTAGGCTGGGGAGACAAAATGAGATCATCTGTGTGTAACTGCTGCACAGGAGAAAGCATTGCTATGAACTAAGATTAAGAAAAATTTTAAAATGTTACAGCACATAAGAAATGATTATTTGCTATTCCCTCTTTTCTGCATCCTTTCCTACCTCTTCTCTGTCAAATATCCTGAGTATCACTCTGGGGAGAGGATTGTAGAGATTAACGTATCTTGGAAATATTTTCATTTTGATACCTGTAGGTCTAACCCATTCTCTGTAATCTAAGCTGTAGATGCATCATTAAAAAAAATCATCACTTTGTGGGTGGACATCTAGGTTGTTTCCAGTATTTCTGTATTATAAACAGTGCCACAGTGAACATATTTGTACACGCTGTTTGTGTATATGTTTCTCTAGGGAAGATGCTGAGAAGTAGAATTGTTGGGTCAAAAAGCATGTCTTTAAAAAATCCTTGTAAATCACCTTCTAACAGAGCACTGTCTAATAGAAATATAATGTAAAGCCACATATGTAATTTAAAATTATCTAGTAACATTAAAAAAGGAAACATCATTTCAACATGTAATCAGTATAAAAATTGTTAATGAGATGTTTTATTTTCCTTTTTCCAAAATTAGCCTTCAAAATATGATACATGTTTTATACTCATGATGCACCTCAATTTGGATATTGGATTTTCATCAGATATACTTGACCTGTATTTAGATTGAATAACATTTTCAATTGAAAGAGTAAACTTACATATTCGAATTGTTCCAGACTTAAGTTTTCAATAACTGAGTCAAGCATGAGCTTTTAAAACTGAAATTGAAATTTAAAAAATTAAAACTTCAGTTCTTAGTTGCACTAGTCATATCTCAAGTTGCTCAATAGTCAAATGAGGCCAGTGGCTCCTGTTTGGACAGCACAAGTCTGAAATTATTATACCGGTTTATCTGCTTCCCATAGCAATGCATGAGAATACCTGTTTCTCCTCATCTTTACCATCACTTGATATTACAGGAATCACCCTGGAATTTTCTGCTGTGGCACTATCATCAGTGTAATTAGATCATTAGTTTTGTAAATATATATTTAATGTTCGTCACTCTCACTGGACATTAAGGGTATATCTGTGTCCTTCACTACAGTATGCCTTATGTCTAGACCAAAGCCTTAGTACACAGTAGGTATTCAATGAATCCTTGTTGAAGGGTCGACTGTATTACAGATTAGAGTATCTGCCATATTAAACCATGAGGCAACTTTAAAGCCAGAGGCCAGATTTAGGAATGGTGGAGCAGAAAAATACAAGAAGGCTGTATTCTGAGGAAAGTGTGGGGTTTCCGTAGGATTCTTCCACTGTTTCCTAAGAGCTTATTATTTGTGAGACAAAAATGAACTCCTATTTCATTTAAGTCACTGTAATTTTCTGTTATATTCAACTGAAACTTTTTCCTAGCTCATACAGTCACCCGTACATGTCCTAGGGAGCTAAAAGATCTCTGCTTTAGCCTGTTTCTATTCTTGTTCCAAAACACCTGATGTTTGTCAAAGATGTTTATCAGTTACACCTCAAAGGAAACTCAACAGTCAACCGCCCTGAACTGGTCCTAGCCTAACTGCAAGAGCAGCACCTGTGCCAAGGAAACAGAAGTGTCCAAAAATTGCTTCTGCATCATTACCGTGCTAAGATCACTGTCCAACGAGGGGACGTGTACCTTGCTAGACACATTTAGTGCTGGGTGCAAGGGAGTCTGAGGGACTGCACATGTATGGCTGTTCCTTGAAATCTCTGCCCTTTCCCCAGTTTCTGATGATAGACCTGCCTCTTCACCTTAAGAGTCCTTCCTCCACTTTCCTCCTATGGGGAGAAGGGGTCTTTAGAGAGTGAGCTCTCCCTTCTCCATTCCTTGATCAAGGAATAAAGTTTCTGCTCTGCAGAACCTGGTCTTGTTCAATTGGTGCAAGCGACACTGGGCAAAGGAAAGACCCAGTTGGTGTCCACCCAATCTGAGAGGGTTGGTAACAATCTAATCAAAACTCTAGGTTGTGTGAAACAAGGATCTGAATCAATGTGGTAATTCCATTGTTCTTACAATGATGGCCTTACGCTGTTATCAAGGCTATCAACTAATCCATGTTTGGCAGCTTCAGTTTTATAAAGTATCTTCACATTTCTTACATTATCTGATTTTTACTGTTTACTGATTTTGACATTTGATTTTATTGTAATATGGTATAAAAGATTATAGCTGCCCTGAAATTCTTAGGAAGAGAAGTTTGTTGGTTGGAAAATTACATGGAAAAACATTTAGAGTATAAAGGAAGATTCTCTGGTACCCAGCTGTAGGTGGAACCCCTATGGATGAGACCAGGGGAAGAACTTATGTTGTGCCAGAGAAAGAGGGAGGATCTAGACAGCAAGAGGGCAGAAGGCCATGTCCCTTGTCATCCATTCCTGTGGTCTCTGAAGTCTTGACCAAACTTTACTAAAATAAGACAAAACTTGATGAGAGTAGATTTGTTTGTGAGACTGAGATTGAATTCTATGTCTAGGTTTATGGGGGTGGGAGTAGCAATAGGATGAACATGAATTTCATTTAGAATTCTGAGGGCAACATGGCCACAGCTGACATCTGTGTTGACTTAGAATTCTCATTTTAGGAATGAGGAGAGGATACTGAGACTCTGAGCAGATTTACCAGGTGCACACAACTAGTGTGCAGCAGAGTTATGACTTGGACCCATGTATTCTGACCCAAACGCCACACGCTTTGTCAATTCTATGAACTCTCTTTTTTGGGTGATTTATCTGATAAGCCTCTCACCAAAGGTTGGTTAACTTCTACTCTGCACATCCTGATATTATACCAGAACATGTGGTGGTATGTCCACAACCCTGAGATTTAATTTCATTGCTAAAAATGTTCTTCTCTTTTACTTACTTTGTAAAATTGTAGTTCACATAATCAATCTTCAGAAATTCAAGAGATTCAGAACCTTTTAAATCTGAGATATTTCTTTCCTTGACCATTTTCTCAATTATTTCCATACCAGCTTGAACACCTGTGAAGCAACCAAAAGTAAGTGTTTTCTGATAACAAAGATGATGATGGTGTAATATCATTAAACATATAAGTGAAGTTTACTAAGTAAGCCATGCTCTTAGATACTTAGAAAACAGGATTCTTACAAGGGGGTATTACTGTCCCTGCTTTATAGAAGCAAACACTGGTCCTCAGAGAGACTAACGAAATTGCCCAAGACCTCAGGACAAACAGCATGAAAGATTTCATTGTGTGGCTGGGCTAAAGAATATTAACACAACAGTGTGATAGGAAAAGTACAAAGTGTAATCATTATTCATCTTTGCAGATGAAGAAACTAAGCCTCAAAAGGTAATTTTCACCTATGTCACACAGCAAAGAATTGGGGTAGCCAGCATTCAAGTCTGGACAATTGGGCTCCATAGTCCATGTCTGACAGCCAGTTTCAGAAAGTTATTCCACGTTGTCCTTTTCCTCCCTCAGATTCCTTAAGTTTGGGAATTTTAGACCTGAGGTCCATGAACTGTTGGGAACTCTTGAACCCCATTAAATTCTAGTCAAAGATTGTGAGGGGGTTGTGTGTGTGTATCTATCTAACTTTTCAGGGGAGAGGATCCACATTTTCATCACATTTTCAAAGGATCCCAGTACTTCAAAAATGTTAGCAACCACTGCTTGTGTTTAATCCTGGGCTAAACCCACCTTTATATGCACCACAGAACATAGTTCTCTGAGCTCGTGGGAAACAGAGCTCTCTTCCACATTAAAGAGCTTGAGAAACATTAAGTTACACAGTAAAGAAGAATGATCTTTTCATTTCTACCTTCTCAAGGAGGAAGTTTTGCCTTTACCCCTTGTTTTGCAGCTTAAGCTCATTTCCACTTATTCTATCCTTGCTGGAGATGAACAAGAGCAGATTTTACCCTCTGCAATACTGTGAATAATACTGTAATATGGAGGTGTAAAGAGAGACTGCAAAGATGCGAAGATGGAACCAGAGGCACTATCAGACTGCTTAAGTTTGAATCAACATTGTCACTTACTAGCTTGTGTGACTCTGCAAGTTACAGAATCTCTCAGTCCCTCACTTTCCTCATGTGTAACATGGGGACATTAGTAACTGTGGAGGGGTCTGTTCACACATGTGAAAATAACAGTTTCCAATACTGGTTGGGTATTTGCTCTTGCCAGATTCTCTTCCAAGTGCTTTATACGCTCTGTGATGTTCACTGTATACGCATGTGCAGGAGACAGAGAGAGGGAGAGGGATTATGAATCTGTGGCCATGTTGGATACGTCTATTGTTCAATGGGATTATTTTTTAGACAACACTTTTCCCCCCAGCCATCTTAGCAGCTCTGGATCATGCCACTAGAGCTTGTCTCAGTCATGAGACAATCCAATATAAGCTTCTGGATTTGGGTCACAGACTCCACCAAGGGAGTTTGCAGCCTGGCCTCTGAAAGCATCCAACTCACCATAGTCCAGAGCTCGCTTAGTAGCCCTTGCCTTGATTCCAGGGTAAATGGTCTTTGCGGATGAGATGTAGAGATTGCACAGGAGGAGACAACCCCAGAGGACTTGGACCATCTTTGTATGCATCTGCAATTAGCCAACATTTACGGTTCCTTTATTATTCTTGACTTTCATTAATCAATTCGATCTAGCATTTCTAGGCTTTCTCACTTTCATTGCTCACTTTCAGAACTCCATCCATCCATCCATCCATCCATCCACCCAGTAATCATTTATTGAACATGCCAGGACACATTCAAGGTGCTGAGGATGTAGAGATGACCTACATGTGGCTCCTGGCCTTTGCTTCCCACAGACTACTGGGTCAATCAGACATACACACACAGATGATTATAACACAAGATATAATGTGATGCAATACAATGCAAGAGACTTACATTAAATGTAACAATTTGTATGTGCCTTGGGAAGGATAATGGGGTGGAATGGGGGATTCTTGACAGTTTTAGAATAAATGAATCAGTAGTTTAGAAAAGTGGCCTCAGTGGATGTGAGGCAACCACTTATTTACTTAAAGACCCTTGACTCTCCTTTGCCCACAGGATGGGTTTAAGCTCTTAGCATGGCAATCAAGGCTCACAACTGGCTCCAAACTTCTTTCAAGCTCCTATCCCTTCTTTCCTGGCCAAGTGGTAGTGCTCTGAGCTGGCCACACTGAGCTATTTGCTATTTTTCAACTTGTCAGTTTTCTCATATTCGAGGGCTTTTTCTTTAGCCCTCCCAATGGAAACACGCATGCACATACATCTGTCCCTCGGTCTCTTTGCCTCTGGGTCACATACCTACACCTGTATGGTGAATGCAACCTCCAGGGCCAGCTCCAAGGTTCCCTCTGGGAAAGCTTCCATCACCATGCTATTTTGAATTGGGCTCATCACCTTCTCTCTATGCTTCCGCTGCACCTTGTACAATATGTATGAATCCGTGCTCATTTGACACATGATGAGCTTGCAGGCAGGCTCACCACTTCCACCACTGTACCTCCAACTTCTACACCAAGCCAGCATCATTTCACATGGGTTTTTACAAATGTCTCCTTACTGGCCTCCTCTGTTTCCCTTGCCCCCTCCTAGCTATTCTCCACACTACACCCAGAGTGGCCTTTTAAAATGAAAGTCATCTTGTCACCCCTATCCCCTACCCCATTAAAGCCCTCCAGTGGTTCCCCATCTTACTTGTCATAAAACCCAAAGCCCTTCCACCAGCTGCAAGGCCCTGCTCTGCTCCACACCTCTACCTCCTTATTGACCTCTTTCCTTAACACACATGCCTGGCTCACCTGGCCCCAGCCTCACTAGCTGACTTGATCTTTCTTGATCACTCTAAAAAGCCTGTATCCTGGGGTCTTTGCACTTGTTGTTCCCTCTGCCTGGGAACAACAGTCACTCTCCAGATAATCACATGGCTGGGCCTTTCACTTTCTTCAGGTATCTGAAGTGTTACCTCGGTGAAGCCTCTCCTGACCACTCTATACAAAACACCCTCCCCCATGACCCCGATATTTCTCATGCCTCCCTTGCTTTATTTTTCTCCAAAGCACTTGTCATCATCTAGCATTGTCTACAGTTATTTATTTATTTATTTTCTGTCCCTCCTACTGGAACTTTTAGGCTTCTCGGGGAAGAACTTCATTACTGCAGCACCTTGAACAGCAAGTGGCACATAGCAGGCAATGGGCGAATATTGGATGATTGATTGAATGAATGAATGTCTCTTCCTTGAGACCATAAAGTGGACCAGGTATACCTTTTGAGTTCCCACAGTACTCAGGGCAGTCCTTGATCTTAACATGTACCATCCTGCATTGTGATGTCTTTACTTGTCTGTCCCTTCATCACAAAGATTGTGTCTTTTCTGTAACTCCAGAGTCTAGTACAATGCCTGGTATGTAGTAGATACTCACACAAAAAAGTCCTAAATAAATATCTTCTCCCAGGAGAGGAACCACATCTTATTCACTGTTATATTGTCAGCACTTGACATAGAATCAATGGTCTCAATAAATTAATGCCACACCATTTTCCTGATGAATGAGGCATAGATACCAATAGCAACAGTGACATAGATTTCTTTTGAGGATAGTTGAGTGATTAATCCATTTACAAGCCTTGTTTCTAGTTCTGGAAGTTTATAAGCTGGGTGAGCTATCATTACTGCATTCACACAGATACCCACTGAGTTAACACACAAACATGAAATAAATCAGGGAAGCATTTGTGGGAGTGGCCAAGGAAAAGAAAGTTCTAGGAATCATGTATTTAGACAGAGGGAGGAATTAGGCCAGGTGGCTCTGGGAAGGATTCAAAGAGGGACTGGGATTCAGAAGCAGTCCAGATAAATGCAAAGGTCTTTGTAAGAGGTGTGTGTGTGGGGTGCGGGGGAGTGTGGAGAGAGAGTCTGTGCATGGCCAATATAAGTGAGAGGTTGGATAAAAGGGTGTTGTGTTGGCTCTTGGGTAACACCATACAGGTAGGAATGGGATGATGTAGACAAAGGGGTGTTCCAGAGAATTTATTTGAAAGGAACAGAGCAGTCTGACCAGGAAAGGGAATGTTCAAGCAGGGTTGTTGCTAGCTTATCTTCAGCTTTTCTGTGAAATGGGAAAAGGTGCCCTTTGGAGATACACCAGCCTTCCAGCACAAAGTGGTGCCAGTGTAAAATGTTTTAGGAAAACTCCACACCAGCATATTCAGCTTGGTGGGGAAAGAAAGGTCTGCTCCCTCACCCCTTGTGCTGGCATTTTGTTTAGTGCTCAAGCTGCCCAACTCATACAGTGGAACTTTGCTCAGATCAGTGAATGCTCATGACGGTGTTTTGCTAGAGGACCACAAGGTTGAGAATTAGGTGCCTGTTCTGTAGTGTATAAGCCCAATTTTAGGTGTGAGAAGAGGCTGGCTCAGTCAAGCATTCAACCATTACATTTCTCACTTGATTTCCCAATAGCCCCCTCTGTGTACTCGCTGTCCAGACAAGTTCCTAAACTCATACCTTGTTTCCTGCCTAAAGCCTATGCTTATGCCATTCCCCTTTCCTTAGGCCTGCAGAAACCCTGTGTATCAAGGTCCATTGTAAACATAGCCTTCTTTCTGAAGCCATTTCTGACTCCCCGATGCTAATCTCATTTCCTTCTGAACCCCTGGTAGAAATATATATTATTCATGTGTGTGTTTATTTTCTTACTTATTGTCTGTCTCCTCTATAGAATGTAAGTGCCATGAGGCCTCATCAGGTTTGGAGGTGCTAGAGCCTGGCTTGGTGTCTTGGACACAGTGATTGATTAGTAAGTGTTGGTAGGATGAATCAACGACTCATAAATGAAGGAACTGCCCTTTCTCTGATTCTACATTGTTTATGGTTCTCTGCAGAGGTGGTTAACAAAGCATTTATACACTAGGAGAGCATGTTCACTCATCAGAACAGATGTTGGCCACAGTCCTGGAGCAGGGTCAGGGAGGTTAGGTACTGCATCATGGGCAGGACAGGGGTAGTCTTTGAGGAGTGGCCAGTATGGTTGGGGTACTGAAGAGTGGGGTGGGGGACTCAGAGAAGTAACTATTTACTATTAGATACTGAGGTATTTCAATATTTTAACACTTACTATGGCCTTATGCCTTCAGTGTGATGTCCCAGCCCTGTGGAGTTGGTTTGGGTAACATAGGAGAATCTACAGGAAGAACCTGGGCAGCAGTGCTGGGTGCCGGGCTAAGGGCGGGCGCCTGGGGATGATTAGGGTGAATACAACACTAAGGGGAGCATAGAGGAACGAGACTGAGAGACAAGGGGAAGGAATTCCAGTAGGAGAGGAGGGTCTCTAATCAAGCAATGAGTAAACTAAGGAGGAAATGTGAGGAGTGGGATAAGCAAGTGTGAAGTCCTCTACATTCTGGGAGGCAGGGTGATATTAACAACATTTATACTCAGGATGGATACAGCAGTTACACCCAGTTGCCATTTGTGCTAGGCCTTCCTTGCTCCCTTAGTTGTCTTGGGTGGGTGGTCCAGGGATCCCGAAGAGGGGGATAGGCAGAGATGGATGGGACTATGGGAATGAGAGGAACACTCCTGGGGCTTAGATTAGTGGCTATTTATCAACTGTACTTCCACATTTTAACAAATGGTGGAGGCCATACTGATGTGTAGTAATGCTAGTATCACTGTAGGCAAAGAATTGTAAATGGATGTGTCATGCCTCAGCAGGCATAAGAGGGATTTTTTAAAAAATTGAAGTATAGTTGTTTACAATATTGTGTTAGTTTCAGGCGTATAACAAAGTGATTCAGATCTATCTATCTATCTATCTATCTATCTATCTATCTATCTATCTATCTATATATCTATACATATATATATCTATACATCTATATATATATACATCTATATATATATATACATCTATATATATATATATATATATATATTATTTCCCATTATAGGCTATTACAAGAGAGGGATCTTTTAAAAAAGGAAGACATATACATAGTAGTAGAAAGCAATGGAAAAAAATGTCAGAACAAAAAGTCTATATCCACTAGACTGTATGCAAAGTAATGTAGAAATTATATCTCTGCCTGGCACACAGTCAGATCTCAATAAATATTTGCTAATTGACCAACTGACTGGCTTACAAGATTCTGGTTCGCTAAGGAAGGTTTTATAAAAGGTTGAAAAAAAAATGAGACAACCAAATCATCACATAAATAGCTCTCCATTTCTATAGTGTAAAAGCACAATAAGCCAAAGCAGAGATATTACTTGTGAATGGAATAACAATTAAAATAATAAATTTGTGTTTCTCTACCATTTACAAAACTCACAACCATCTTTTGAGGTAAATGTTACTATTATCCTCTCCCCATTTTAGACATCTGGACACTGAGGCTTAGAGAGTCTGAATGACCTGTTCAAGTTCACATAGTAAGTCACACCTGGGAATCAAACCTGTTCTTCTGGCTCCTAATTCTAGTGTTTATAATTTTTTTCATTTAATGACTTGATAAGCTTTAGATTTTTCATTTTCATCTGGCAATTCATTTAAATAGGAGTTGCTTGATGTCATCTTAAATGTGGAAATATTCATTAAGCATCTGGAAATTTTCAAGCATCAAAGTGCAAATCCCTTTGTATTTTTGTTGGGCACAAATGGAATTTTAAATTCCCTTCCAACAGCAGAAACCTGTTTTCACTTCTTGGTTAAAGGAAGTTTCTGAAGTGGTATACTTAGATGGAGAGCCAGGAACTCAAAACTGCACATAGAAAACATATTTTTCCTCTAGAAGTTTTACAAGTGAATTAAATTACTGGGCTATAAAGAGAGGGACTGTATGTATCTTTCACTTGAATTGTTTCGTTAGGATGCTAATTTATGGGCAGGGGAGGAACGAAACCTTGTCAAGTAAGGAGATGATTCCTAAAAGGTTAAGTAATTTGGCTGACAAGTAAGGGCAGAGTGAGTTGCCTGTTGAAAGAAGAGATCCAAGATGATTTAAAAACCTGCCAGCAAGTTACCTATTTTGTTGCTTCTGAGGAATTGTTTCTTTCCAATATTCAAAACCACAGAAGTTACTACATTTCCATACCAATGTCCGGACAAAACAACACTTCTAAATTAGATGGCTGTTACCCGAGCCATTCTGATGATTAGAAATAAAAAAACTCAAGCACTACTTAGAAAATTCCTGAGACAGATCCACTTACCACTCATGAAGGAGAGCTTCAATAGACTATGGAAAAATTGATTAAAGGCATGATGAGTGAATGAAATGTAGCCCTTAAAATAGAGGCAAAGTTTGAAAAATTAAGTTCAATTGGCTTAAAGAAGCCTGTTCTACAAGAATATTCCAACCTAATGGTTAAGATAAATAATAAAATTGGTAAGAAGTCTAAATCAACAAGTATGGAATATGGGCAGAACTGGAGAATATTTCAAGGGATTCAGCCCACACATCTGGTTTTGTACCAAGATCTCTAATGACAAAGGCCTTGAAAATTTACACCAAGTCTTTCCTCCCCAAACTCCATACTTCACACAGACCAGTTAAACAGGCAGGTGCGGAGGTCATTTGCTCTGGCAGGATCTAGGTCACTGATATGGTTTAAGATCTGTTTCCAAAGCATGGAGATCACAGCAGTTCCTTAATCTTAACCACATCAGCTGAAAGACAAGTTAGAATTTTCTGCCACCATGCTGAGTTCCCCACTGGAGTGGAGGCAAAAATAAGTCCAGACTATTGAGCATTGCTGAATGATACAAAACTAAACATGTAGTCCAAACCAAGTCTCATTTCTCTTTTAGAGCTGTTCACAGCCTTCCTGGTGGGCATGAGTGACATAAAACACAGAACACAGAAAAACCTAGGCAGACAATAATAATTCAGCAAATGTGACAGCTGGCTTTTCAAGTTGTTCTACCAGATCTGGGATACCTCCAGTGAGAGGGTAATTCCCATTGGGAGACTATGCACAGACAGAGACCTGAAGTTTGTTTGTGATTCTTACCTCAAGCAGAGGAAGCGTCCAAAGCTGGGGAGCACCTTCGATTCCCTCTGCCTTTGAAGTCGATGTGTTCTCCACTTGAGCCTTGAACTCAGCTGCTGCAAGGACGAGATAATTAAGTATGAATCATCTGGTGGTGGATTTTTTTTTAAATGCCTCTTTCAAAATGTGATACATAATTGCTTCACTTCAATTACCCAATGACATGAAGGAACACTTCAGTCTCTACCTAAATGAGCAGACAATGCCACCTATGCAATAATTATCTCCCTACATACACACATATACACACATGCGCGTGCATGCGCACGCTCACACACACACACACACACACACACCTCTGTGAGTGTTATGGCTACTTTACCAGAATGGCTTAAGTCAAGCATTTCAATGTATTGAATAAGATGTTAAACTATATTGAATTGGAAGAGGAAGAATTTTCCTTTCTGGGATAACAAGTCAGTTTCTCCTGGTCAGGGTGCCTGCAGTGGATGGCTCCACTACTGCCCAGAATATCTTTTGGACTTTTGGTGGATCAGTTTCATTCTGAAAGCATGAGGCTTGATAACTAGGTTGACCTAGTTACCATCTTTATCTTTCAGGGTAGGACCACAGATGGCATCTCTAAATGTCTGCTCCTTTTCAGGTTATTAATGACTTCCTCTCCAAACATGTCTTTGAAGTACGTTAGATAGGTTCATCAACTATTATGTAACTCCTCCCCATTCCCATTCCTCATGTTTTAGTCGTTGCATTTCACATGGCCAGGGACATGGTTATATGAAATGTCTAATGTCTTATTTACAATTTTCTGGGTAAGACAGGGTGACCAACTGTCCTGGTTTTCCCAGGATGCAGGATTTTCGGTACTAACCCCAGGACAGTCCCGGTAAAACTAGGAAGAACAACAGGCATGTTCACTTGGCATTGTCCGCACTTCTGACAACTTTTCAGGTTTCTCATCTAACGTACCTCCAAGTTTATGTACCTGTTTAACGTGAGTTTCCTTAGGGGAAGAGTGGGGATAAAAATAGTACTTACCTTGATAGGTGCTGGTGAAAAAAAGATGTTGATAGCTGTCTTAGTCTGTTTGGGCTGCTACAACAAAATAACAGGCCAGTCTAAGCTAAGCTAAGCTTATAAGCTAAGACCACATAGCTTATAAACAATAGAAATTTATTGCTCACTCTTCTGGAAGCTGGGAGGTCCAAGATTAAGGAGCCTGCATGGTCATGTCTTAGTTAGGCTCCTCTTCCTGGTTCATAGCCAGATCCTCTGGCTGTGTCCTCACACTGTCAAAGGAGCTCAAGATATCTCTGGAGCCTCTTTTACAAGGCTTTAACCTCCAAGCCCCACCTACTAATATCACTACCTGTAGGGGTTAAGATTTTAACATATGAATTTTGAGGGGACACAAACATTCAGACCACAGCAATAAACTATGAGAATGTGCTTTTAAAACTGTGAAGTGCTGTACAATTTTTATTGATTAGTATGTGGTCATATCAATGGCGATATGAGCCTGAAGACACTCTCCTCATAGAATTATTTACTGTCAGTCATCATAGATTAATTCATTCATTAAATCCACAGATATCGGGCACTTATTATGTACAAGTTTCTCTTCAGCGAAAAAGATAAAATTCACGTCCACAAGGAGTTTATCTTCTAGCAGATAGAGATATAAAATAAACAAGCAAACAAGACAAAATTAAACGTGTAGACTACAACGTGCTATGAAGGAAATAAGGGTGTGTAGTTGCTGCGGTGGTCTTGTAATTGGGAGGGCAATGAACTTGGGGAAGTGTGCTTCCTCTGTTAGGATGGTCCAGGAAGGCTTCTCTGAGGAGGCGTATTTGAGCTGAGATCTGAGCATTAGAAGCCAGGCAGGCAAAGCACTGAAGGGAATGGGTGGAGGGAACAGCAAAGGTGGGCCAGTGTGTCTGGAATGTAGCAAGGGCAGAAATAATGATATTAAACATCTAAATGGCTATATCAGGTGGGTAGTTGGAGTTTCGAGGAGCTGGCTGGAAATACGAATTTCCAAGTCATCATCCTAGAGGTGGTATTAAAGCCACAGAGATGGTGAGATCACCTGAGGCTGTTTTCCCTGGTGCATGTGCTATAGGAGGGATGCGGGATAATTTCAGGTGCAACACAGATAAACACTTGAAATTGCATTGTGACTATTTTTAGTGCATTAGGGAAAAAAAAACCAGAACCAGACATAGAAGAAGACGAATGACATGACACATCACATGGGAAAAATTCATAAAGTATCTCTAAATATTTCTGTCCTTTCCTCTGAATCTTCCCCGAGTGGCAGCATCACTCCCTCTCTTCTCTCCCTCTTCTCTGTCTCTCTCTCTACCTCTCGTCTCTCCTCCCCAGAGCAGCTTCTTACCTCTACCCTGCTCCCCTGCTCCCCAACTTGTCTTTCCACCCATTCCTTTTCTCTGTCAGAAAGACTTAGGTCTTGCTCAGCCTCCTGTTTTTCACATCCATTAACCAGCTGCATAAAAATCTGCTAGACTTAGAAGGAAGCTGAAAGTTGTAAAATAACAGTATTTTTCCTGGTGCACATATTAATTTTTCATTTTGGCACACAAGGCCTGAAAGTCTAACCATATTTGGTGAAAACCTGAGTCATTGTTGTGTATCCTTGGGCTTTTGGCACAGGATCTGGGGAGAGATCTTGGGAAGGATGGCCTGGATGTAGGATGAGGAGAGAGAATGAAACAGGGGGGAACCCCAACCCTGCAGCTGTTGAGGGGCTGGCCTCACATGGACCTGCCTGTCCACCCCAACTCTGGGACCTTGGGCAATTTTCTTCATTTATTTGGGTTTCAGAACATCATCTTGAAAAGTAGGGATCACATTTACTTTGAAGAATCATTATGAGAATTAAACTAAGTAAGTCAGAACATTTAAGTTTTTCCTACAGTGTCAATAAGTTAGATGCATTGTTACCTATATTTCCTGTATTATTATTTTCAATTATTAATTTAAAAGTTATTTTGAACAGTTTTTATTTTAAAGAAACATACAGAGCTTAATTTTCACGGTATTTATTTTTTACATTTACCCTCTATTTGGAAATTAATAAAAGCTTTCCCTTTTAAACAAATTTATATACATTTTAAGAAGGGTTGGGTTGATTTATGGGGAAAAAGAGCAAATAACAGTACAACTCATGTGGGATATGGGATAATTTTGGAAAAAGGGGCTCAAATAATTGGAGTTTAGGGAACAAAGAAGAAGAAAGTACAGATAGTTTTATTTCATTTGGGGCCTTAGAAATCAACTTTCTGTCTTCCTTTCTGTTCAAGGAATCATTTCAGGGAAAATCTGCCAAATTCATCATTGAAAACAACAACAAAAGCCAGCATCACTATATCCAGTTTTGTTATTTATTTCAGTTTTTCAGATTTAACTAAAGATTTGCTGGGAACTCCTATTTATCCAGCCTACCCACGATGGCAATCTAGAATGCAAGATTAATTATTTCACTTACTAATGGCTGACAGTGTTAGTCTCTGCAGATCAAGGGACACCTTTAATTAAAACTCCAAAAGAAAAATCATAGTTAACTAGCGAGAATAATCGTTCGTTAAAGAAAAATGTCAAGATACAGTGTTAAGGAACTGAGTATCCTAGTTCTTGGTTTCTAGAATGTCTGGGCTATGCCCACATAGAAAGAAGCTATCTGATTATGACTTGTTTTGAGCTTGGAAATGAATTATGTTATTTTTTGTGGGAGACAAAAGTGGGAGTGAACAGGGATTCTGTGTATATGGAGGGAAGAGCCAGACAAAGCAGTTTGAGGGCAAAGATACTTTGAGCTCTTGTCCCTCACCATCCTCCAACATTTTGTAGTTGGTGAAATCTTGTTAAAAGGAAACATTGAAGAGGGATATGAGAGGTAGAGAAAAATAAGAGCTAACATTTATTGAGCTTTTGTTATGCTCTGGGTATCATCTGTATATTGACTCATTGAATCCCCATCAAGACTGTTTGAGGTAATAATATTATCTCCATTTTATAGATGAGGAAACTGAGAGGTTAAGTAATTTTGCCTAAGTTTAGGCATCACAGCTAGTTTGTGAAGACAGAATTCAGGATCCAGGTGTTCTGCTTCTGGGAGTCACTTAACAACTTTGCTAAGCTGCCTTTAGGAAGGTCATTAAAAGGCAACCCACAGTCTAGGGGATGTGGAAGGTGAGAAGAGAGAAGGATGCTGTTGTTAGGCAACATATTTGGTTTTCTGAGCTGCTAATTGAATCTGTGATACATGTGTTTGTTTGAAATTGCTAATTTATTCCTGACCAGAGGAAGCTGTCTGGAATTAGCATGGCTCTTAAGAGAGATGACCCTGCAGTTCACTCTGGAAGAGCTGGAGAGACATCTGGTAGAATCACCCTATTGCCTGGCAGCCTCTCTCCCTTTCTCCCCAGTTTGGTCCCAGACCATGTTCCCATTACGTCTGTGTGATGACATTTCTGGGTGGACACTGATGACTGACTCAGATCATGGCCTCCCCAACCAGTCACACTCTGGAATGATTTATGGCAGTGACTCCCTCCTGGTATGGAAAAATAAACAAACCCATTTACCCAGTAACCTCCAGTTATTGTCAGTTATCTAAAAGGGAGTTACTTTTTTTATTTTTTGCAGTTCAAAGTGAATTTATACTCATGCAAAAATTTAAATGTACATTCATATAACTTTTATGAAACATGAGGAATATTGTGAACTCAAGCAAACAAGACAGTGTGATACAACTCTGAAATGTCTGAGAATCACTGGTGTGAGGCCAATTCAACTAGACAAGGATTTCTCTAGCTAGGCATTACTGACAGTTTGGTCACATAATTCTTCTATGCAGGGAGCTGTCCTGTGCATTGTAGGATGTGTAGCAGCATCCCTGGCACCCTGGTGTTAGTAGCACCACTCCCTTCTACTCTAATTGTGACAAAAATGTCTCCAGACTCTGCCTTTGTTGATAGGCCTTTGTTGAGAATCAAGAAAATAAAGTATATTAAACTATTCCATCTAGCCCTTGCAGTAGAAAATATCACTCCTCTTAAGGATCAGATTCTAGTATCCTAATGATACTTTTCTTAATTATCCAATAAATATGTGAATACATTTTCCTAGTAAAAGATTCAAACAATACTGAAGTTTACAGATCAAACTGAAAATCCTTAATGTTCCCCTACCCACTTTGCCCCTGTCTCTTGTATGCCTCCTTCTGGTTTGCTTTCCAAGAGTATTTTTATTCTTTCCTTTTAATAGGTTCCAGACATCTTCATTTGGTCCACAGATAGGGTCTTAATCATTTCAACAACTACTGAAGATTTTTTTTCTAACTTGCGTGGATCTAATTTCAACTCACAACATTTTAAAAAGCCCATTTCAATTTCTCACCAAGCACAGCTACCTCAAAAGTCTTTTCCAAGTGTGAAAAAAACCCCAAAACAACCACAGCAAGATCACACGGTATAGACCAGTTCGTTCCCAAAGTGTGGTTTATGGTAGCATCACCTGGAAATCATTAGAAATGCAAATTCTCAAGCTCTTGTCCAGACTTGCTAAATTAGAAACTCTGGAGGTAGGGTCCAGCAATCTGTGTTTTTAACAAGCTCTCTAGGTAATTCTGAGACACTCCAAAGTGTGAGAACTATTGGTATGCAAATTAAAGCTCAAGATTCAGGAAAATGGATTCTATTTGTAAGAAAATATTGAAACTAAGGCCAACCTGACTTTCTCTGGTAGAGACAGAATGAAGAGCTTACTTTTCCAAGCAGATATATCAAGAATTCTGAGATAAGCATGAATATCTTTATGTCATTTCAAATCTTGCTTAACCAGCCCTCACATTGGAGGTGGGGGTTGAGGGTTGTTGAACATGGATAAGACTTGCATTTTCTCCTTGAGAAACTCATAACCTAGGATTGGAGAAAGACTGGTGTGCAAATAATTGCACTATGGTGTGATGGATAACATTGGAAAGTATGTTCCAGGTGCTCCTGGAGCAAAAGGAAGGAGCAGCATACTCTGCTTAAAAAAAGGGTAGGAAAGGTATTCCAGGTAGAAGGATCAGCATGTGCAAAAGCACAGAGGCAAGCTGACTTGGTGGAGAGGATGTAAACGGGAGGAGGAGAGGCTTTTTGGAGTAGCGCAGTGTGAGCAGTCTATATGTGAGGGGTCACTGGGAAGACTGAAGAAAGTGGTTTCCAGCTGGATTATAAAGTGTTTTTGTCGTGTACAGAAATCTGATTTATATTTAGAAAACTAAAGGAAACTCAACAATAAGAAAAAAGCCCAATTAAAGAGTGGGCAGAAGATGTGAACAGACACCTCACTGAAGAAGGTATAGAGATGGCATATAAGTATATGAAAAGATGCTCAGCATTGTCATTAGGTATTTCTGAACTCTTTGAAAGTTGCAGTGCCTATTGCTTGCAAACATTAAGGTGACATCCTGCAAAAGAGAAATAAATTCTCAAGGAGGGAGATAGTTGAGAGAAGGGGTATATAATATTCTCATAGAACTTCTATGTTTTGGAGGATCGTCCTCCAGCGTACCTTAAATCTTGGCTGTGTTTTGGAGATGCTCTGGTCCTCTTCCAGTACCCTCCTACACTCCTGTGGTTGGATTACTTCCTCCATCCCAGTGCTTATACTCTATTGGGCAAAGGGTTGAGACAAGGATTCCAGGTGGATTAGTTTTCTATGGTTGTCATAACAAATTACCACAAACTTAGTGGTTTAAAACAAAACCCAAAAGATATTATCTCACTGAATCTTTACAGCATACTTGTCTGGTATATTTTTGTTACCATTTTCATTTTTATAGATTAGTAACTTATCTAGATTTATGTAGTACTCTGAGGTGAACTGTGGTAAATGTTCTCCAAAGATGGACATCCTAGTAGCCTTGCACTACTTTCTCCAAGAATTTATTTCAGAGAGAAATAAAGTTATATCTTGCTTAAGGTCACTATTATTTCAGATCTCTGTTAGAGCAGCTGACGCTGTATCCTAACTGATACATCCTCCAAATATAACCATTTTCCAAGTTCTATTATTTCTACTTCTGAAACACCTTCCCTTCTCATCCCAATGTTTTCATTCCCACTGTCATTTCACTAATTTCTTTCTTCTCCCAGTTACCAAAAGAGCCTCCTAACTGGGCTAGTCACTAATCCAGTGGTTCTCAAGGCAATTTTCCTCATAGGGGATATTTGGCAAAGTTTGGAGGTATCTTTGGTTCTCATAACTGAGGGAGGGTGTTCTAGTGGCATTTTGTGGATAGAAATCAGGGGTACTGCTAAATATCCTACAAGGTCCAGGGCGAGTCTCCACAACAAAGACTTATGAGGCCAAAATGTTAATAGTGCTGAGGTTGAGAAACGCTGATCTAATATATCCCCCACATTCTACCAGTGACAAATTTACATTTCAGATCCGACACATGCCCCTTGTGGTATACACCTGTCAGACTCACAGTCTCCTATTCTCTTTTGGACAGTCTTCCAACATTTGGAGAAATTCAAATATTATAATTCTCACTTCCCCAAGGAAGGATTTCAGACCCTATATTTCAGTCTCCTTTGCAGCCAGGATTCAGGCTCCCTCAAACAGATGTGTCCCTTTGAGCCTTTGATTTAGAAGAGAACAAGGTGAGAAAACAGGCTCTTTTGGAAGCTTGGCACTTTGCTAGTGCAAAAACATTGGCATTTGAAGGTGGCACCCATTCCCCAGTGGTTCCTGGCAGCAGTGACAGCAGTTTCCTCCAGTGTGGGGTAGGGTGGCAGCAACAGTCCCAGTCATGATAGTTTCCTCATCAGGCCAGTTCTTCAGCATGGATCTGGGCATCATTCCCGGAAGCTTAAGCTGGTGTCACTTCTCCAGCCCTACCAGAACTCCTCAAGCTATTCAGTATCCTTTTGAATATGCTTTTTTCCTGCTTAGTCAAAGTTATGCTTTATTGCTCAGAACTAAGAACCCTGGTAAAGATCTCCAGGCTTAAAACTCTTCAGTGGCTTTGCATACATTCTAGAATGTGTCTCAAATCCTTTGTTTAGCTCAAGGCTTTTCTTTATCTAGGATATACTCATTCTGCCCTCATTGAGCCACTGTATCCACTCTGTCCACACTGAGCCACCCTGGTCCTGCCATCCTTCCTCAATCCCATATTGCTTGCCACGAAAGAACCCTACCAACACAACAATCCTTCCCTGTGTATCCCAACCCCCAGGACTGTTCTTATCTCTATCGTAAACAAGAGACTTTTAATGCTCTACTACAAGAAGATGATTCACTTACCTGTACGCACTACACAGGTAGGAACATGGCTTTTCAGCACTTAGGATAATATCTGGCGCAAAGCTGATGTTTATTTAATGAATAATGTTTATTTAACGAAGGTCAGACTATGGACAAGCACTGCCACCTATTGGGAGGAACGTTAATCAACTCTTTTATAATGATTTGGAAAATGGCTATTATGCAAGATGAAACTTGATGATACTCTTTCTCATCTAAGTTATCATTATCATTATCGCCAGACCCTCTGTGGTAGCCAGTCTCCTCCCGGCCCCCAATGGTCCCTGTCCATTGGTACTCATGCTTTTGGGTTGATTCTACCACAATGAAGAGTTTTGTGATCAGTAGACCACAACTGAAGTGATGGTATGTGACTTCTGAGGCTAGATCATTAAAGACATTGTGCTTCTGCCTTGGTGTCTCTGGGATTACTTGCTCTGAGGGAAGCGAGATTCCATGACATTGGGACACTCAAGTGGCCCCATGGGGAAGTCCATGCAGTAAAAACTGAGGCTTCCTGCCAGCAGTCATGTGAGTTAGATCGTCTGGCTCGAGTCAAGATTTCAGGTAACTGCAGCCTTGACCAACTGAGTTAAATCTCACGAGACCAAGCCGTGCCCAATTCCCCGACCTATGGCACTTGTGGGACCATAAATGTTTGTTGTCTTAATCTGTTCAGCTCTGAGGTGGCTGTTTTGCAGCGAGAAATTACTAATATACTCTCCGACACAGATTACTGACTACAAGCTGTTTTAATTTTGCTCTAACAGGGGGAAACTACCAGAGCATGGGCTTGGTTTCTCAGAGCGGATGGTGCAGGAGCTGGGCGCCACAAGGAAATGGGTTAAGAACCAGGCACACCAGGGCTTTGCGGAGTGGCGAGCAGTACGGTCTGCAGCACCCCTTCCAACCCTAACGCTCTCCATGCACAACTGTAAAGAGGCGCACACAGTCATCGGCGGCAGAGCGGCGATACCCGCGCCCCGCGGCAGCTCAGCGCCTGCGCAGTGCGCTCCTCGGGCTCCCAAGGGGCGCCGCTGCATGCCGAGTCATCGATCGCGAGTTCCCGAGCGGCCTGGCTCCGCGCAGGTCGCCAGCCGCCCGCTCGCGGGGTGGGCTCTAGGGGGGCGCCCTCAAAAGAGGGGCGGAGCGCTCATGTTCCAGAGACCGGCAGGCAGGGCGGCTGCCGCGGCGAGGCCTGGTCCGTTACTCCGCAGCATCCCCATAGCTCCGGTAGTCGCAGTTCCGGGGCCGCCGCCGCTTGAGCGGGAGCTGCCCGACTGCTCCGTCGTCACCGTCGCCGCCTCGGGGTCCGGGCCACTGGAGCCTCTTGCCGCCGCCATGAAGCTGCGGGTCCGGCTTCAGAAGCGGACCTGGCCTCTGGAGGTGCCAGGAGCGGAGCCGACGCTGGGGCAGCTGCGCGCGTACCTGAGCCAGGCCCTGCTGCCCACCTGGGGGTACAGGTACGAGCCACGGAGAGGCGGGGGCGCGCCGCGGGCCCGGGAGGAGGGCCGGGTGGCGCGGGCACGCCCCGGGCCGTCACGTGTGGCCGGGCAGGGAGCGCGTTGTCACGGGGCCCGCGCCCCTGGGACTGTGACGCGAGCAGGCACTGGGGTGCAGCTCACCGGGTTCCGGCTCTGGGAGATCATGGCCCAGCGGCCCGGAGGCTCCGATCCCCTCCAGGGTGAGCCTTCGCTTCCGCTTTTGCAGTGAACGAACCCAGGCGATAGGCTAGGATGCAAAATTCTCACGCCTTTTGAAATGTAGAGTTGGAAATTATGGGCTTGTCTTGGGTTAAACCTTTCCAGGCTTTCAGCGATTTAATTAATTTTAAGTTCACCATCTCCAGCTCTCCAGCTGTCAGAGTATTTCAGTGATAAAGTTTGGAAAGTACTGAAAGAGGTTAGAAACCCGCCCTCCATCCAAGACCACCTGTAACTTGTACCGCTGCGGTGAGGCTGCAGTAACCTCAAGACTCCGTTAAGTGCTGACTTACTAGGCGCCGCGGTGAGCACTTTGTCTTCCCCGCTGCGAAGTTTTACAAAGTGCAGTGTGTCGGTCTGTTTTAAATAATTTTATTTTCCCGGGGTAGATGTTGCGCCTTTTTCTTTTTAAGCTAAAAACTAAGGTAAACGTTGGCTTATGATGTCCCTGGAGAGCTTGCACTTTGGGGGCAGTGACACTGAGAGATAATGGATCAAATTGTTATTAATTTATGGGGCTGCAGGAGGCTGCTTTGTTTCCAAAAGGGATTCTGGGGACAATTATTTGGGAGTAGAAGAACAGAAGTCAGGTGGTCCTCTTCAAATACTGAGCTAGCGAATTTGAAATTTGTGCTGAGAAAAATACAAAAGATGAAGTTCCCTGGGGCTTTTTAGGTGAATTATTCAAAAGAAATCTTTCTGTTAATTGTCTCCTTTCATAAGACTTTTATAAACTTACATTTTATTTTCAGCGAATTCAGTAAAATGAGGGCATATTATGAATCTCCCTTTTATTTTTCAGGTTAAGACATTATTATGTTAAAAAGTAAGCCTGTTTTCTTCCAAATTAAAAAAAAGTAAAAACAGGAAATGAAGATTGACATAACTCCTTTTAAACATTATATTAATTGATGTGCCTATTGTTTTTTCCTTGGTATTGAACAAAAATTAACTTCTCTTTAAAAAAATTTTTTTAAGTATAGATTTACAATGTTGTGTTAGTTTCTGGTGTACAGCAAAGTGATTCAGTTATACATGTATATTCTTTTTCATGTTCTTTTACATTATGGTTTATTACAGGTTGTAGCACCCTGTGCTATAAAGTAGGACCTTGTTTATTTTATATATAGTAATTTGTATCTGCTAAAAAGTTACTTCTCTTTTTAAGGTATTTTCATACATATATGTATATATGTTTTATTATTATTATTTTTCAATTAGGTGGGACAGTCTGGAAAGTATGTGAAACCCAATATGACACTTTGTTTACCCAGGAACTCAAGTTAGTTTCTCTTTCAGGTTTGTTTTTACAGTTGAGGCTGGTTAACTGGAAGGAATGTAAGCTTCAGCTTGTGAAAGTAAATTCATTCTGAGTGTGTTCATTGTTAATAAATGGACAGTTTTAAAATGTGTCCATATGACATTATTACTTTTAAAGTGTCTTTGCTGAGCAATCTGGGTTTGCCATAAAATAATTTTCGAAGGCCTGGAGTTTCTAGAATGGCATTCCCTGATGAAGTTCATTTTCTTTTTCAGTTTCAGAAAACAAGTCCATTTTTTAACCCTTCTCCTGGAAAACCATATATTACTTCAGAAATAGCTCTTCCTTTTTCCTAAAGGGAGAGGGAATGCCTACATTTTATTAAGCAGACAGTTCTTTACCTTTTTTATGAATAAATATTGAATAGACATTATACTAAATACAATGAAAAAAACAAAACTTTTGCTGTGACAAATGATCCATAAACACGTAGTTAATTTGAGGTGTTTTTTTTTTTTTGTTAAAAATGGGATGGTGTTTTTCAGGGTAGTTGGCAGATTTTCAACATTTTATCAAAACATTGAAAACAAGCATGGCTACTTTTTTTCTAATAAGCAAGAGTAGTTTCTAAAACTTCAGTAATTTCTCTATCAAAGACACTTTAATTGGTAAGAAAAAATGTATTTACATGCAGAAGAAAAACATAAATGAATTACTGGGAGCACTTCTGAAAATGTAGCATTGTAAGAACAAATAAACAGAACATGATTTTCAGAGGACTTCATCCTTTCTTAACCTCTCAAAAAGTTAATGAAGTCAGCATTACTGAGTGTAAATATCTTATAAAATGTTCTACAATGGTTTGTTAATTATTCCTTACCATTATGTGATGAAATGACAGTTATTCTCTCAAGGTCAGATAATCTGTGGTGCAGAAAGAGTCAGGGTTCATTGCTTCTGACTAATTTGAACTCTTAGCTAGTTTAGCACTGGGTTTTTGGATTTGTTTTGTCTTCCATGTAAAAGACATCATAACTGGTCATCAGTAAGAAGGATGAACTTACCAGTAGGACAGATGAATTTATACCCAGTCATCTACATGCACTCATCTAACTTCTTGTGATTATGAATATACATTTAGGACATAGGTCTAGTACTTTGGAACCGCCAAAAGCTAACTATCCTGGAAGGATTTTGAAGGGTAGCCCTGATTCCAGCCTTATCTGGATTTTTCCATCTAATGTTTATGGGTTGCGTCTATTCCACAAATATTTCTTTTTGCCAGGTGCTGGAGATACATTTTTGAATTAGACAGACAAGGTACCCAATCTTATGAAACTTAAATTCTTGTGGTAGAGGTGGGGAAGAGAGATGATAAGCAAACAAATACGATATTTTCTAATAGTGGTGTTATAATGAAAATAAAACATGAGAATGGTATAGAGTGATGGAGGCTGGATGGAAGGCATCTCTGAAGAGGTGACATTTGGGTTGAGACCTGGATAGTGAGAAAGAGTCAGTCATTTAAAGGACTTGAAGAGCAAACGCAGAGGCCCAGAGGCTGCAGTGAGGTTGATTTGTTTTTGTGGAGTGAATAGAAAGCTCATGTGAACAGAGAAGAGCGAGTGAGAGGATGGATGAGGTAGGAGAAGTAGGTAGGGATCAAATGTTGGGCTTTGGAGGCCATGTTAAGGATTCTATTCCAAGGTCAAATAGAAGCCATTGGAGGATTTTCAGCAAAGGAATGATGTGATATAATTTATATATTAAAAAAAACTATTTCCTTGAATCTCAGTTGCCGTCAATCCTAAAATGCACGTCCTTACATCACACTAAATGAAAAAAATGCTGTCCATTAAAGTTGTGATATGTCATCGATTTTAAGAAGCATCCCCACATGCTTAGCATGCACGAGGCCCTGAATTTAATGCCCAGTATGTCCTCTAAAAATAAATGATTTCCTCCCCCCGGCAAAAGTTAAAAAAAAAGAAGACTATAAAAAAAGAAGCATCCCTATTTTGAAGATGACAAAATATAAAAAACTATGTGTCTTAGACTTGATGGAAACATGGATTAATGACAGAGAATGCTGATCCTATCCCCCCCGCTAGAATCTATAACCTAGGTATTTGGTGATAAGAACAAATAATTTTTATAGTTTTTTCCAAGATTTGGCTTTCTTCTTATTTTTGTTTTGTTTTGTTTTGTTTTGATTACTTAGTTCTGCTGGGTCATACAATGTACGTTATATATGTTCCAAATGTATTATTGAGGGTAATGGTAGTAGGTAGCTCTTACTATCCTTATCCGTCTTTCTTGGCAGTTCTGATACCCGGTTTGCAATTACATTGAACAACAAGGATGCCCTCACTGGAGATGAAGAGACCTTGGCTTCATATGGGATTGTTTCTGGGGACTTGATATGTTTGGTTCTTGAAGATGCCATTCCAGCACCTAACTTACCTTCATCCACAGATTCAGAGCATTCCTCACTCCAGAATAATGACCAACCCTCTTTGGCCGCCAGCTCCAGTCAATCCAGCATACAGGATGAACAACTGAGTGATTCATTCCAAGGACAGGCAGCCAAATCTGATGTCTGCAATGATGACAGTATGGTAGGTATTAATATCAAGACAAGAAATAGAGTAGTTGATAAATCATACTGAATAGCTCAATTGAATTCTGTGCCAGTCAGGATAATTATCATTAGTAGAATGCAGATAATATTCTTATAGAAAATTTATTTTTATTTTAATTACTTTTATTTTATTTTGTTTTATTTTTATTGATATGTAGTTGATTACAGTTTATTACAGTATATTAGTTTTGGGTATACAGCATAGTGATTCAGTTTTTTTAATAGATTATACTCCATTTAAAGTTATTATAAAATAATGGTTATATTTCCCTATGCTGTACAATATATCCTTGCTGTTTATTTATTTTATACATAGTAGTTTTTTAATGTTTTGAGAAGCCTCCATACTGTTTTCTGTAGTGGCTGCACTAATGAACATTCCCACCAATAGTGCACTAGGGTTCTCTTAGGAAACATTTTTTTAAACTGCTAAATGCCTGGACCAACATAGGTCTGGCATTTGAAAAATCCAGTTTTTACATATTTATTTTGTTTACACACCCACTCCTTCAGATGTATAATCCCTTGCCTTCTGTTATTGCCTCTAAGCTCATGATTCCAGCTTTGTTTCTCTGGTCTACTCCACTCACTAAGGCTATGTATAGTTCACTTATTTCCAAATGATTTGCAGGGCATTTATACCTGAATTTAAAAATAGTCACCTCAGACTCTAGATGCTAACATAAGTTTGAAAATATGTGCACTGATGGTTTCTTCTTCCTGAATCGGTGACCTTCTCTGTCAATGGCAGAGCGTAAAACCTTGGAATGATTTTTGATTCCTTATATCCAGCCCCTTAACAGGCTCTGTCCGTTTTTCCTTTCCATTTCAGGCTTCCAGTGTGTGCTTTTCAGTCTACTTTTGTGGGTTCATATTCTCTCTGCACATTTTTGATTATGTTATTCCTCTGCTCCCTAGTAACTCTGTGTCATGGATACACCTGGGTTGTTCATAACTTTTGAAGTGAAAAAGACCAGGTATCTCTAGTTCATGTCTCAGAGGAGGAGAATGTTGTCTGTTCTCCTGTACCTAGTTTTTAAGGCTTTCTGGAAGGTAGCCCACAACCTTTCTGGAGCTAGTTTCTGCTCTTCCCTCCTGTAAACTATCACCTCCAGTTAGACTGGACTGGACTTCTCCTCCTCATTTTCTATCTTGCAGCAGCACATTCACCTATGTGTATGTGCACATGCACACACAACTTAGTGACTGCTTCGCTCTTTGCCCTCGCTGTTCTCCCAGCCTGGAACCCACTACTTTTCCTCCCTCTCCTGTCTACATCTCTGCCCACCTGCCAAGGCCTTGCCAACCACAGCCCAATGGTTTCCTTCAATTTCTTTTTGTTGACTATTGCCTTGTAAACACTTCATTATTTATTATCCTTCCTTTTGATTTCTTGTATGGCACAAATAATCACTTTATTACTTAATATTTTCATACCAATACATATGCCATCTTGTTAGTTTTGTGTGTGTATACCTATCACTTCAACTTAATTTTTTTTGTGGGCCTTAAATATAAGTATTCACTGTGCCTATCATGTTAAGTGTAGACAGATATTAAAAAATACTTTTTAACTGATTGGTAAATTATAAAAATCATCTATGTTTAGGTTTTTAGTAACAGTATCCAGAGAGATTACATTAAAAAAGCTTTTATAAATCTCAAAGTATTTTTGTGAATTTTTTTCCCCCAGGACTCATTATGTATCTCTGAGCTTCTGTCTCATAGAGATAATCTAGGGAATGAGTAAGTGTATTTAGCCAGATATTTAAATTACATTTCTGAATCTTTTCTGCTGATAGACTCATTCAGAGATTCTGATAGAAGGACCCATTCCCTTTATTTCTGTGTACTCTTAAAATCATTAAGATGGAATTTTTCATAGGGTATATGATAGTTACTTCACTAGTTTCCTTTTGGAGAATTTTGAGACATTAATATTGACTCAAGTTAATAATTTCAGTTCTAAAAATATGTTGTTTTGTATTCTAAGACTTTATAGGGTAAAACTTTTTAGTGTGGAAACTGAGCTTGAAATCTCATAAATAATGCTTTAAGCACTTGAAACAGTATGATTTGTCAATTAGACGTAGAATGGGGCATTGGAAAAGAAAAAATAGGTGGGTAATATTTGAAACAGTAGGAAAATTTTGCTCTTCTGATTAAGTGTAAATTAATTTTCTTATTTCATTATATTTGGGAATTCATCTAGTACCTGTTGAATCTTCAATGAGAAATGCATAACATGGTATCAGACCCTATTATTAGCTGTAAATTGCTTTATAGTCAACTTGTTCCACTCACTTGTAAATGACATATGACAAATGATCTGTTTATAAAGAGGTGGTGCTAAACTTTTTTTTTTTTCATTTCCACATACATGAAGAGTATGGTAAGTATATCATATCAGGATGGCCCAGAGAATGTCAGTGGTTCTCTTCGAGTGGGTGTGAGGTTTGATAAGCTCACCAGGGGATTCTGGTATCTTCCTCCCATGTCATTATCAGTCTAGGGTAACCTTCTAATAGATTTCCCTCACATGTATTCTCTCCCACACAACTGTCAGTAAGTAGTAAATGGCCAAAAGTTAGGCACAAGAAGCAAGAGCATATATACGGGCATACCTCGTTTTACTGCACTTAGATAGTGTATTTTTCACAAACTGAAGGTCTGTGGCAACAGTGCATTGAGCAAGTCTGTTGGTGCCATTTTTGCAAAAGCATTTGCTCACTTCTGGCTCTGTGTCACATTTTGGTAATTCTCAGAATAGTTCAGACTTTTTCATTATTATATTTGTTATGATGATCCCTGATTAGTGATCTTGATGTTACTACAGCAAAAAGGTTACAGCTCACTGAAGGCTCACATGATAGTAAGCATTTTTTAGTAATAAGATATTTTAAAAATAAGGTTATATACATTGTCTAGACATGCTATTGCACACTAAATAACTACAATATAGTGTAAATATAACTTTTATATACACTGGGAAACCAAAAAATTTGTGTGACCCTGCTGTATTGTGGTATTCACTTTATTGCAGTGGTCTGGAACCCAACTTGCAATATCTCCAAGGTATGCCTGTAATTCATAATGTAGTTGGGTGTTAAGTTGTTTTAATAAATAGTTTCTCCTTGCTCAAAAATATGACAGAGCCATGCTTTTAGATAGTGTGGATTGTCATTGGCCTCTAGGTTTTAACAAGTGAACCTGGATCTTTTCCGAATTTGGATTAATTTCCTCTGCTCCTTTTCTAATGAAAATACGAACTTAAAAAGATGAAACATGTGCTTTGCATTAAGAGTTGAGCACATACCTAGGAAACAGTCTTTCTGAGCAAAATTAATATAGGTAACCTAGTCTTATTGAAGCAATATATTATGTCCAAACATTGGGTGGCTGTAACATTTCAAATTTTTATTAGCTGGTAACATTGATTATGTTATTTAATCTGAATCAAAATTACAGCATATATAAAAAGGTGACATCATCTGTCTTGCCTATTTTACGGAATTTTTGCATGGTGCAATTTAGGAAACACTGAAAACAAAAACACGAAATTTTAAGATATTTTCCTTCAGTTCAACAAGCATTTATTGAATACTTACTGTGTGCCAGGTACTATTCTGGTGTTACAGAAATGGGTGATATGTGATTTGTTCCTTTCTAGGCCTGTGGTCATGGTAGAATATAGGCATGTAATCAGAAAATTGCAATACAGTGTGATAAAATCACCCTGCAGTAATCAAGGCCTTGGCAAAGCAGAGAGGTAGTCTGTATTACCTGGAGGGGTGGGGAATTCTAGAATGGGGAGGAAGGGACTGCAGAATTTGATACAGAGTCAGGGATCAGGTGATGAAGGGCCTTGAATGCTAAGAAATTTAGGAGTTTGGACTTTATTTCTTAGGCCTGAATTTCTCAGCATGTCTTTTATGAAAAACTTGTCTCATGAGATTGTGTTATGGGGATACTGTGTGTTGAGGAAGGAGGGGGATAGTGTTTCTTGGTTAAATGTTATGCTCACTTAACTATTATTATTGAGCTTCTCAGAGCTTTATAATGCCAAAATGTATTTTGTGAATGTGGAGGGTGAGGTTGGGTGGCTGTAACATGAAGCATTTCCCAAACTTACTTGCTTATAGACTTCTTTTTTCCTAAGAACACTTAGGGTCACATTCCAAGGCAATACTACTGTCTGCATTGGGGAAATACTGGCAAGTTTAAGCTGAGACATGACCAAATTCTACTGTCAAAAAACTGGCAGCAGTGGGTGGAATGTATTCGAAGTCAAGGAAGAAGAGTCAGGGGATACCTGGGGAGGCTGTTGCTGGAAATTAGGAGCTAAATGAGTCTGAAGTACCAGTGCAGTAGGGAGGGGCAGATTTTAGAGATACTTAGGAGATAGATTCAGTGGAACTTTGAGGACTGATCAGATTGAGGGTGGGGTTTTATAAGGTAGAAGGGGAAGTGGAGGATGATTTCCATGTTTTTGGCATATCAGCCAGAATTAGTGGAGATAAGGAATTCAGGATGGAGGAGCAGACTGCAGGCTCATTTGTTTAGAAGAGTTTGCTTAAAATGTGTCCTGTTTCTGAACCCAATAATGTGCTTTGGCTCTGAGCACTAATCTCAGTTCACTTTGGGATACAAAATATAGTGTGAAAAAATGAGAGTCTAATGAATTCATTACTTTTGTTGTCTTTTTCAGTCAGGGCCCAGTCAGAATTTTGAAGCTGAGTCAATTCAAGATGTTGTGGATATGGAAGAGGGCACAGGTTTCTATCCCTCAGAACCAATGCTCTGCAGCGAAGCGGTGGAAGGGCAAGTGCCACATTCATTAGAGACTCTGTATCAGTCAGCTGACTGCTCCAACCCCAGTGATGCCCTGATAGTATCGATACACCTTCTCATGTTGGAGTCGGGTTACATACCTCAGGTAAGAGTACAGGCAGAAAACAGACATGTTAGGGTTTAAGTTTCCCATTAGAAAAGAGGTGGTGCCCTAGACTTCTTTATTAAATGTATCTGGGTGTTAATGTAAAGTGCCGAACACAGTGATGGGCATACAGTAGGCAGTCAGTAACTGTTCCCTTCCCTCTTTTTCTTCTTTTTTTCTCCTTCATTTCCTTGTCATTTTTAGTTAGTACTATAGAATTGATGACAAGTATGGTTTTTAAAGAACCCAAAAGATTACATATGCTAATACGTAGATAAAATGTTGTCAGTGGGTGTGGATTAGGCATGACTAGACAGAGGACTCACTAGGTTATTTTTGTTGTTGTTGTTAATAGCTCTATGAGCCAGTAACTTAATAGGATTCTGTTAAAAAGAGGGACATTGTTCTTATGCTGTAGTTGCTTACCTTCATTTGTTCGTTCTTTCATTCATTCCTTATCCACTTGATAAATGTCTGCCAGTGGCAGGTACAGTGCTTTGCCTCTGCTCTTAGGTAGCTTACAGTCTGAGTCAGACAGAGAGACAAGTATATAAACCATTATACTGTCTTGACTAAATTGTAGGGGGAACATATACAATTATAGGATGCCAAAGATTCACAGAAGAGAACATTTAGAAGTTTTAAAAACTTTAACGTACATAAGCATACCTGGGGATCTTATTAAAATGCAGATTTTGTTTTAGTAAGTCTGGGGTGCAGCCTGATATTATGTGAGCAAATTCCCACATAATAACAATGCCGCTGGTTTGTGGGCCACGCTGTGGGTAACAAAGACGTAGGTTCAGTGATCATTAAATATGTTCACCATGCCATGCACTGAGTCAGGAATTAGAATATAAAGACATTGGGGCAGTCCTTGTAGGGCAGAGAAACAAATAGAAGGAAAATATGTATTATTATAATGTATTATGATAAATAACATAATAGAAGTATGTAGCGATAGAAATACAAACAGAATGATAGAGGGTAAAATAGAGGGAATGACAAACAGAATTTTTTTTTTTGAAAAAGGCTTCACAAAGGAAGTGGTATTTGAGCTGGGGTCTTGAATAGTGATATGGCTTTGCTAGGCACAGAGAGAAGTCTTTGATGAGAGAAATCAGTCCCTATCTCTGTTGTTATCTATTTACACAAAAATGTTGATGGTGGATAATGTATTGTGACATTGTTTCCTATCAAAGTTTTATTACTAGAAATATTAATGATTTGGTAAGTTTTATTACTGGGACTGTATGGAATGCTTATTTGTAGACAGGTTAGAGGCCTCTTGGGTTTTTATTCTTTTTGAGAGTAACACCTTTCTTCATTATTTGTTTCCATTTCATTTCATTTCCAGGGGACTGAAGCCAAAGCTGTGTCCATGCCGGAGAACTGGAGGTCGGGGGGCGTGTATAAGCTGCAGTACACACATCCTCTCTGTGAGGGCGGCTCTGCTGCTCTCACCTGTGTGCCTTTGGGAAATCTCATCGTCATAAATGGTAATGGGACGGCATGGTTTATGAATACTTACAAGTTTCTTTCCAGACATTTTATAGCCACTTCAGTGATTGGCTATCATGATATAGTTATGAGTCTTTCTCAACTTTGTTTAATCCTGGGACCACTGATAACATGGGTCTGAAAGGTTGTAGAATGCAAGGCAGATGTTTAGGCTAGCATCCTTTACTCTTGGGACTTTTGCTTTCTTAACCTTGTAATTTTTGTTCCGGGGGAGTTAGTGATAAATAGGAGTGAGATGAGTCTATTACATATGAACTCTTTGAAGAGTACTTTTTCTTTCTTTATGCTGGTGGACGGCTTTTTAATTTTTGTTTTGCTAACCAAGGTTTTGAACTGAGAGATGGTGAGAGGTGAGATTGAGGTGGGGTCACTTTTTATCTAGTTTGGCATCTCTGAACACAAATACTTGTTAGGGTTCTGAGGTCTCGGTATGTGTGTTTTATCCCTACTTATCCCCACCCTCAAGAGTCACTCTGAATGGAATTTCTTTTTCTAGTTCTCTTTCATACTAGAAATGTCAAGGGATAGGAATACATTCCATTGTTGTATTTCATTTTAGGTCAGATGGCCACACAGAGATCTATACCAACTACCAGTGATCTGTGGAATAGTTCAGTCACACATTCTGGAGATCCATTTGAGTGACTAGACTCTTTCATTTTCGTTCTGTTTTGATTTTTGAGGTTTACCCTTTTAGCTAGGTAAGATAGTATGGTAAGATTGGAATGACTTCATTTTTTATTTTTCATTGATGCTCATCTTTTGTACCACAGAGACAGGTGCTTTCATGTGCCTTAGCTCAGTGTTTTAAGATGTTCTTCAACTACTAGTTTCTGCTGAGATGGAAGCAAAGAGGAGGCTTAATAGAACCCCTATTGCTACTTAAACCTTGAACAGCAACATGTTTGTTTTGTTTAGTGAGATCCCTAGTAAGATTTTGTTGGAAAATTTTTTTTTGCTAAAATTTATTTGGAAGCCACTGACTTATACTGCCTTGATCTTTGAAATAAAATAGTTCTAGGTCCCTTTTTATGTAATTTATTCTGTTTCTTTGTAATCACTAGATTCTTTGAAATGTTATTTAAGAGCCTCAAAATTTTAGCTTTAACAGCTTTGGTGGTATTCCACATTGGTCAGTTTGTGACTGTTTGATGGCACTGGGACCCAGCAGTGTCTCTTCAACAATTCATCACAATTAGCAAATGTAACTTTAGTTGGGCGTTCTTACTCACAGAGGGTCAGCAGTTTCTGCCTTCATCTAATATTCTGCTACATCACATCATAACTTGCATGGCTGAAGTTACCGAATAATAAATGTGAGGTTGTAATTTTGGCTTCAGTTTCTTACAAAAGCACTTTAACAGCATGTGTATCTTAACCTTTATTTACTAGTTTTAAGATACTTAACATAGAGAATAGCTGCTGAATGTCTTAGTTTTTGATGTTTTGTTCCTTCACTAATTCTTGGGAAGTCAGCTACTTGTGGACTTGGGTGGCAGACAGCTATTCCAGGCTTAGTGCTTTGAAAGGAGCAGTGTGTCCTTAAATCTTTCCTTCACCCAAGACATGTGCACAGGCACATCACTGGCTCTTTCATGGAGTGAGATGAAGTGTGCCTTTGTATATATGATTAAAAATGAACCCCCTGGCAATGTCGAGAATATTAGTCCTTGGGTCTAGAGAGAGATGATACTGTGAAAACTGGAAGGATTCTTTTAATAAACAAGGGAAGACTCATTGCCAAGGGTTAAATAAAAAGTGGAGTTTTTAGTGACCTCATTAGAAATAATGACTGTACTGTGTTTAACTGTCTCCCTTTAACCTTGTTGCATATCTTTCACCTACTAATAAACTGCTGTTGGTAACAGTGGATTTCATATAAAGGTGCTTACTGTAGTTTTTAAAAGTGGTGTTTTAGAGTGATTTGATTTAATGAGATGCAGGTTTGCACTTTGGACTTTGCTGTGAGGAAAGGAAATAAGCATAGAGCAGTTTGTTTGTATAATGTGTCCTTCATGTATATTGGGGGGCAAGGGAATGCAAGTCCATACTAAAAATTGAAGGCAGTTGATGAAATTACAAAGCTTTTTCATCATCTTTCTTTTGCTTATTTACAGCTACACTAAAAATCAACAATGAGATTAGAAGTGTGAAAAGACTGCAGCTGCTGCCAGAATCTTTTATTTGCAAAGAGGAATCAGGTACTATAACCATGATTCAACTTTTGGGATGAAGCTTTGAGAGGTACACTTTAAAAAAAAACAGGAAGGTAATGTTCAAAAGACTTACAGTTTCTGAATGAGATTAAAGAAGTTCAAGATAATGTTACAGAATTTTGGTTTTCCTGTTCTTCTTAGGATCTTGGAATGCTAAATAATATTTATATTGCCATTATATGATAGTATGTAATGCTTCACATACCATTGACGGTTCATAATTTCTGAATTAATCTTTGTGGATTTTTCTAGCATTGTATTTAACCAGTATGGAGAGGATCTATGTTTGTGGAAACCACACAATACAGTTTCATTATTGAAAAATATTGAAGGAAAAACTGCACTCAAAATGTTTGCTTAAACTTATATAAATTTGGTTGTTATTTGATACATTGGTATCAAAGATTGGAACTTTACCAAAGTTTTCATTCTAGGCATGGTTTTGCTATATTCTATGAAATTAATAGATGTAAAGAAGACAAAATTTCTTTTTTCTTTTTCAGTTAATCCCAAAGGCAGGTAGGTAGTTGAAAGAGAAGAGATGGGATGGAAAGGGAATTAACTTCTTTCAAGTGCTTGTTTTTTGCTGGACATGTGCCTTTACTGATGTTACTCCATTTTATTCTCATAGTAAACTTAAAATACAGATAGGGAATGCTGTGGTTTATATAGTGGGGTGATGGCATTTACACCAGTGTCTTTTAAGAGAACACTACCTAGATCTAGATCTTTGCCTTTGGAAGCCTAGAGGTTTATTCTTGTTAGCTCCCAGGGGAGATCAGGCCCCGAGACTAATTTATATAAACTAAAACTGATAGGAAAAGGAGATATCAGAGTGCATATTAATAAAAGTCTCTGAATATTTAATGTCATACTAGACCAGTGTTTCTCAACGCTTTTTTCATTATCAATCCCTTAAGGAGACTTTCAACACATTTCTCCCCCCTAAATCATTTTCCACATGAAATTTTAATTCAATGGATATACTGTATAGTTATTTTTATACTGTGGCCCTTTGGAGGGTTACAAACCAGTGTAACAGCTAGGATTTTTGCTCTGTTGGGGACAATATTGCTTCTGTTGAGAATGTCTGAACTAGATTGATAAATCTGTAAAGATGGTCTTACCATTAACACCAGAAAAACTTGAAATTCCTTGGCTAAAAAACTGTATATTCATCTCTATATTAGGGAGGACCTTGCTATCGGGAGTAGATACAATCTACATTCTACACAGTAGAGGTTATCATGCCCATTTTGTAGATCAGTAAACAAGTCTAGAGAAAGTTAAATTAAGTTAAATTACTTCAAGGTCACAGAGCTAATAAACGGTGTAGTTTATGATTAGAATAGACTTTATTCCTGAGCCTTTTTTAAAAAACAACTTTTATAGGAATGTAGCTCAGATGATCTGGTTTCTGTTAAATAAGGAAAAAGGAAATGAAAGGGGAAGAAGAAATACTGTTAGATTATAAGCTTATGGATTATATTAATTGACTGTTTTCAATATGTACTTTTTATATTGGGTAGGAATATGCTGCTCATTTGACAAGACATCTTAATCAGTTTTCATTGTGGCTCATAGTATAGTACCTAGTATATACTAGGCACTGTTATTTATCCTTTTATTTATAAGTTCCTAATTACTTCTATAATAGGTCCATGAAGGGGAAGAAATTGTTTAAAGATGTTTCAATTTTCAGAGTCACACACTGTATACTTCTTCTAATAGAGACTTTGGTTCGTTTCGTGTATGTAGGAATTATGTGTGAAAACTTACCACTTTGATTTGGTTTGGCAGAAGCAGAGGACACCATTTCAAGTTTTTCCACTTGATTTTGTGTTTTGATTTTTCATTTCAAAAAATATCCTAGGGGAAAATGCAGCCAAGATATACAAAGATCTTCAGAAGCTCTCTCGCCTCTTCAAAGACCAGCTGGTGTATCCTCTTCTGGCTTTTACCCGACAAGGTGAGAAATGATAAATCATCACAGGTTGAATGGCTAGAAGGAATAGTAAGTTTACACATGTTTAAGTATGAGATATGACTCTTCCCTTTTTTCTCCTCCTCTAGACTGATAAATCTGTCAAAATTTTGCTCTTTTAAGACTAAGCTTAAATGTTAATTCCTTAATTGCTATACATTTCCTCTTTTATTTCCACTGCATTTTGCACATATCTTTATTGTATCCCTTATTCCAGTGTACCATAATTGTTGATATGATTTCTTTCCACCTAAGTTTGTGAATACCTTGAAAACAGGAAATATGTCATTCACTTTTGTATTCTCATGGCCTAGCACAGGGTCTGGGCCATAATAGGTGTTCAGTAAATACATATGTAAATAATGTATAGCTTGTAAATTGGGTCTTTTTTAAAAAAAAACTATTTATTGGGACTCTGCTAGGTACTTGGGATATTTCACATGCATTCTTATTTAATGCTAACAACTTTGAAGTAGATTTTATTCTCATTTTATAGGTGATGAAACTGTAATTCAGTGAGGTTTATAATTAACTCAATGTCCTTGTATTAGTCAGCTTTCTCTTATGTTGTAGTAAAAAATATTTTCAAATCTCCATGGCTTAAAGTATCTCTCACTCATTACATGTTGTGTGTGGGTTAGCTCTAGCTGAAGGAGTAGTGAGTAGTCCTGACCTAGGACTTGCGGTTCTTGTGGCACAGGGAAAAGAGGGCCAGTGGCCTAACCTTGTGTTGGTTATTAAAGTTTTTGTTCAGAAATGATGTACCACTTCCACTCATACTTCTTTGGACAAAGTCAAAATGGCCAAACCTAATCATAGTGGGATGGGAAGTCTAACTATAGGGTAGAAAATGATATGGTAGAATCATAATCTACCACAGTCTTTTAGCTGGTTAAGTAATTTCAGATTTATGCAGATAGATATGTGGCTTTTATCTGCTATCTGTATGTAGAAAAATAATTTTTTTAGGTCTCAAGTTACATGGTACAAGGCTATTGTAACTGTAGTTTTCTTTGGTTGGTGGTGAGGGAAGAAAATAATGTGAATTTTAAAACCCCTTATTGGATTTTGGTTAGCTTTGCTAGTAGAAAATAGTATCCCATATGTTCAAAGGAGCTAATAATCAAAAAATAATTTTCATTTGGCTTTGGAAAAAATTATCCTTTTCCTTTTTTGGTTTTGCTTCTGAATTTATCTACCCCCCCTTTTTCAGCTTACTAGACATCAAATAATAGTAATCTAACACTTGAGTGCTTATTATGTACCAAACATTATTCTAAGCACTCTACATGTATTTATACATTGAATTCTCAACTCCGTGAGGTGGGTAGTATTAACCTATTTTATAGATGAGAAAATTGAGTTAGAATTTAAATACTTATCCATAGGCATACAGCTAATAAGTGGCAGCATTAGGAACCAAATATAAAAGCCAATGAATTAACCATTTTCTGTAGTTGAATAGAGAATTTTTTGTTGCACTGAATATTGCTCAAAACAAAACAGTCCATTGGCTAGTATTTAGAAATTGTCATAGCTATTTATTTGATTTGTATTAAGAAGTAATTTGTCTCTCTACTAAAAGATAAAGGGAATTGGAGGCTTAGAGTTAGTAGTAGTAATATAGTCAACTTGGGGATAAAATTCTGTTATAGATGACATACTTAGATAATTGAGAATACCATCTAATTTATCATCTCTCTAGAAAGTTGGCAACTTTGGTTTCAATTATGTGGGGAAAAGAGGATGTTCTCTACTCAGTGATACCTATTCTTTTTTTTCCTTTTAGCACTGAACCTACCAGATGTATTTGGGTTGGTAGTCCTCCCACTGGAGCTGAAACTAAGGATCTTCCGACTTTTGGATGTTCGTTCTGTCCTTTCTTTGTCTGCAGTTTGTCACGATCTCTTCATTGCCTCAAATGACCAACTTCTGTGGAGGTGTTTATATCTGCGGGATTTTCGAGGTGATTTCCATGATAACATGTTAACAAGAAAAGGGTTCTTTCTTACTGAGGTCTTAATTACCCAGCTTCCCAGAAGTTTTAAGTTGTAGGCTCTTTTTTTAAGAGTAGGAACTGAGCATAACATAGCCTTATTGTAAAGGGATTCCAAGCTTTATATACCTTTGCCTGTGTCCTGAAAACTCTCCCCATTCAGTTTTGTGTTCTCTGCAATACAAATAGCACATTAGACCAAGTAGACTATTTCAGGATAGGAAATGGAAGTAAGACAGGCTTAATGCTGGATGAGTAAAGCATTTTTAAATCTTTATTTTTTATTTTTTCTTTGTAGATGGTACCGTCAGAGGTCGAGACACAGACTGGAAAGAAGTAAGTATTTTTAAATATCAAGGCCAATGCTCATAGCACAGAAATAACTAGTGAATTAATATGTGAAGGGCATATTTTCCACTTTTATTATGCTATAATACAATGAAATTTATTGCTAATTTTTCAGTAAATGAAAATGTTTTCAACTTTTACCTTGATAGTAAAATAAATAGTCCTTATCTTCTTGTAATTACACAGGAAAAAAATCTTAACACAATGATGATTTTTACCTTTGCTTAATGTAAAATATTCTTCCTTCTTCTATTGTAAAAAAAAAAAAGAGTTGTTTTTGTGCTGGAGTAGTCTTCATCTGTTTAGCTAGTTAAAATAGTATGCTATGAAAAGAATAAGTAACGTTTTATTTGCAGATGCCTACTATAAAAGACATTGAGAGGACTGAGAAACTTGGGATGAAGGACTAGAGATAAATTTCAGTGAGAGTCCTCAGATATGTACAAAATACATAGTACTGTTCTTTAGGAATATGTTCCATCCTCTAAAACAGTCATCTTTTTGTGTTGTTATTTAAATTGTGATCTATTAGTTACACAATTTAGGTGAGAAAGTGATCTTAAGTGCTGACTGCCCCTCCTACCCCCGCCACCAGTACCTTAACTTTTTCTATTTTGTGGCATGATATTTTCAACAAATATTTAAATTTTCTACTTTCAAAAAAGGCTGACTTAAAATTGCACATCAGCTTGAGAGCTCTAGAATGCAGTCCTGAGAGTATATGTCACTCAGTTATCCCTCTTTTGGATGTATTGTTACTCCAAGTTGGCACAATTGCTCAGTCGCAGTGTGGTTAAAGAATATAGTTCATTTGGCGTTGTGTTCACAGCTACTACCTTATTCATGAAGATAGAAACTGATAAGAGTTCTCTTCTGTGCACTGGTTTCTTTGCCTTCATAGTGTGGGAAAAGTATAGATCTATACAATGAAAGCAAATTGGAACTTGGGGGAAACATCCAACTAACTTACCATATCTTGTTCTTGTTTTTCTATAGCTGTACAGGAAGAGGCACAAACAAAGAAAAGAAGCTCAGAGAGGGCGGCATGTGATGTTCCTGCCATCGTCACCCCACCCCATTCCATTCTATCCCAATCCATTGCACCCCAGGCCTTTTCCTCCTAGTTCTCTCCTTCCTCCAGGAATTATTGGTGGTGAATATGATGAAAGACTAACACTTCCCTATGTTGGGGACCCAATCAATTCACTCATCCCTGGGCCTGGGGAGACACCCAGCCAGTTCCCTCCACTCAGACCACGTTTTGATCCAATTGGCCCACTTCCAGGACCTAATCCCATCTTGCCAGGGCGAGGTGGCCCCAGTGACAGATTTCCCTTAAGACCCAGCAGGGGTCGGCCAACTGACAACCGGCTGCCATTCATGTGACTGATTTGTAATCTCACTCTGGAGCTTGTTCTGGTTTTTAAAAAAACTACAGGTGTCATCTTGTTGGGGTGTTGATCTCTAGTGTTTTCTGATTGTGGTGGTGAGAAATGCACTCACAGAAGCCTTTTGGTAGATATATTTAAAGCTCCAGGGGTGACATGGCCCAAAGGGCATGACAGGGTTGGCCTTGGGAATAACAGGTTACTGTCATCTCTCTTCTGAACCTTCTAGAATGAAGGTTGTTCACTGATAGTGTTCTATACCAGAATAAAAAAAAATTAAGTGTAAATTACATAGCAGCCTTGACTTTTATTACAGAAAGATAAATATAAATATTCAGAACAGCTTTACAACATTACTTGGACATTTCAGAATGATTTGAGAACCTATTCAGTGTCATCAGATGGTTGCAAGAGATTATCTGTATTTTGCAGCGGCATCCTTTCTTCAAATGAAATTGTCTGCAGACTTGATTTGTAAAATGGATAAAAGCAGAGCTAGTGTGGCTGAGCTGAACTTGGGGTGAGAGCTTTAGACACTCACCAGCAATTGAATCCACCTCCTCTTTCTCTCTGCAGCTGTTCTTAGGCTCCAGGCTGAAACTTCTGTGCTCTGAAGCGATGCTGTTTGGCTACCATTGGGTTGTTAGGGACTCTTGTTTCTGGCTTCTTCTGGAGTGGAGTTATGTGTTTTTTCCCCTTGTGTTTTGAATACTTGGTGCCTAATTTGTAATCTAAGTAGATGACATCTTTTAACAACAAAGTTAAACTGCTTTGGTGCTGCCAGATACTTGTTCTTCAAAGATAGCCTCATTATTTGAAGAACATTTTGCTTTTAAGACTTAAAATACACAAAGTTCAAGTTTTATTTTTCCTACAATAAGAAAAAGGCCAAACACAAATGTCTTAGCATAATACAAACAACCATAGAAACATGCTATAGTGACAAATTAAAATCTGAATCACAACACAGGAATAAAACACTCAGTATCTGCAGAAAATATTTAGTAATATTGCCAGTATCTTCCTGCTTTCAAAAAAATCTGTTTTGCATATAAGGAAATGGCTTGGAATGTTATGTGCTGCAAGAATATTTAGAGTCCTACATACATGTGATTTTTTTTTTGCTACACATCATAGTCTTTTTTTTTTTCCATCACAGTGAAGAAAATTCAGTCAATAATTTATTTTCCAGAGGCCATGTCACCTTTATTAGCTTAATGTATAGGTAAAGTATTGGGGCTGTTAACACTTTTTTCTGTGGTATTTTGTAATGTCTGAGCTATAGGACAGCTTTTTGAAAAGTGTTCACCAGAGGCCACATGGCATTAACTGGGTCTGGGTTGAAAGAGTCACCCTGAAACTTTGATGGGTCCAAAACATCCTGGTTCACCAGTACACCTCTTTGTGGCCGTGTAATGTTAGGTTGTGCTGTGTGTATGTGGCTGTGTGTGTAGTGGGAATGGAAGGACATAGTGATGACCAGAAGCACCATATACTATTAAACAGTAGTTTTCAAAATGCAGTCATTTTTGAGTGGTCCTTGAGAGGTCTGTGAATGGTGCTGGTGTCTTGCAGATACAGGTGCTACTTTCTGACCTCACCTCAGACTTAACTAGCCTTTGTGACAAATCTTAGTTCAGGATACCAGCAGTGTGTCATATACCTAAATTTGCAGTCCTCTCACAATAGTTTACTCTGAATTCTTAAAACTACCGTCAAAGCTTTCCTCTGGAATAACTTAATTTATAGTTAGAAGCTTGTAAAATGTACATTCTTTTCATTAGACTGAGACTGTTGAGCTTTATGTATGCTGGTGTATAATGAGAATGAACTCATGGTTTGGTCGTAGCCTGTTCACTGCATGACATCCTGACATCACTTTGTGCTGTGACGGAAGATAGAGTGCCGTGGTGACCATGTTAATAAGATGCAGCTCCACATCACTAGCGCTTGTAACCTTAATGCCTTTGTCTGGCTCTTATTTTCCCCTTTCATTATTTTTGTTAACAGAAGCTTGTTCTCCCCCTGCCCCCCACCATTTATAAATGAAAACTATGGTTTGGCATGACTGGAAATCAAATCATGAGAGGTGTCCTCTCTTTCCAATGTAAGATTTTGTGATTCTCTAGGTACAAGCAGTTGAATTCTGTCCCCTCTCGCTTAGCTCTAATTCCTGAGATCACTGCTTAGCTTAATATCTCTAATTCCTACACTTTCCCTTTGCTCCCTATACTTGGTGCCCCGAGCCAAGGCTTGTCTTTCTCCTACCTTGGGCTGTAGCTGCCAAAATACAGAGCCTCGGGGAGGAGCCAGGCAGGTCCCAGTTTGTTGCTGTGCTGTAAGCATGGTTAATACCTTTGGGCAACTTCCTGTTGACTGCAGAAGATGTGGAGTGGATAAAATTATTGGGAAGTAGTAGGTAGGTGACATGACATAAGGTTTAATCTTAACTAACTTAAATGTCTCTCCTGGGATTACCCAATAGGTTATAGCACCTAACTTTCTGCTATTCCATACCAAAACAGGTAAAATGTTAATTGAGAGGCAAGGAAATGTTAACTTGCTTCTCTAGACTCAACAAAAGACCACAGAGAGGAGATAGTTACAATGTAAGAGTTTGGAAATTGAAATTGTAAGTGGGAGGACCAATCAGAATAGAAATAATGAAAGATATTTAGGATATAAAGGATTCTCTCTCATACACACACATACACACAACTGTAGAAGGAATATTTAGTTTTAGATTGGTATTCCCTTAAAGAAAAAATCTTTTAAGTGTTCATCTTTTCCTAGGTCTGCCAGTTGAGGGCTCTGAATACACCATCTAAAAGCCCCATCTATTGCAGCTACACACTGTGGAAACACGAGGGAGCCTCTGTGCCCTTTATGTGTTGCGTCTGGTTAATGGACTGGTTTGACTTGCTTGTCACCCAGCCTTCCAATGTGTCTCCAACCAAATCAAAAGTGCCTTCTATTCCAGTCTCAATATTAGGCTGAAACTGAATCTAATCAGCGACTGCTTTGGTATGGTTAGGAAGCAGCCCACTTGCTCTCTAGGGTAAAGAAAAACATGCGATGCATGTGCAAGTGCTCTTGGGCCACGAGCTATTCCTCCAGCATAATTAAGTTACTGCTTGTGTCTGCAAGGCTGGCACTGTGACTCTAACCTGCATCCTTTCACCAATTCTAAGCACACAAAACCAAGTGAGCCACCAACCTGTTCTATGAAGTTGAATGAAGCACAAGAGCTGGGAGAGGCGGGGTTCTGAAAGGACACTGTGCCTGTGTGGTGGCTCAAGCTGAGCTCTGCTGTTCAGAGAGCTCCGCTGTGGTCCACTGGGTGGTGTGCGGTCTGGATGGGACCCCTGGGTCCTGGTCTCTGTTGGACAAGCTTTGGTACTGTCCTGGTCTGCTCACCATACCTCCTGACTGATCCCGACAATGGCATCTCATCCCTTCGGCTCCCAGCCTCTGTGAGGTCCATGCTGACCACGGGGGAGTCTCATGGCCCCTGCTTCTGCTTGCTCCATAGGTTTAAAGAAAGGCTACAGATTTTCCTCAGCTTCTTATCTCATTTTATTAATCTCTCTGTTGATTTGATTCTATTGATTCTGTTCCTGGGCAAGTGACTTCCTCACGTTGATACTCTTAGCCTTGACTCAACGCTTTGTTTACATTTTGTTAATATCATAGGTTTCTAGGAGGGCCAACCTAATGCACACCATGCACACTTACTGTGTGCCAAGCAACGTGCACTGTGCTGTGTCCACATAGCTTGTTTACAAGGTGCCTGCACCTGCTTGCTTTCCCCTCCAGCTCCTTTCACAGCAAATTCAGATGAAAACTTCCAGAAGATGGTTAATGTCCAGGCTCATGGGATTTGCTACTGTATTTGTTACCATGGGAGTGAAGGCCCATTACCCCTGAAATTTTGGAAAAGTAAAGCTAACTGCCCCATCAGCAGGGACTGAACTAGGAGGCAGTGTGGTAATGATGAAGAGAACACAGAGGATTGATGAAAGAGAAAGGATATGTATATTCCAGTGTCCCTTGAAAGCTGATTTTACATTAAATTACAGTACCCTTTTATCATGCTGATAGGAAGAAGAGCTGTAAGAAGATATTTTCCCTGGTAGAGGTGTTCACAGAGGTTGAGTTTTAAATTCCGTTCATTGAACTACATGTTAGCATAAACCAAGTGGATCTTTGTTGTTAAGTCAGCTTGGAGGGAAAATGCTAGCATTTTTATGGGTCAAAATTGTGAAACAAAGCAAAAAATAAACAACCTTTCAGAATCTCTACAGAGTGACTCCCCTCCCCTCTTCTTTTTGTTCTTTCCCATTGAAAAACGTCACAATTATGAATGGGTTAAATACCTGGAGGGAATATGTACTAGCCTATGTGAGAAAACAGTCCATTTGGGGGGGTTAACGGTCTCCAAAAGACCATTCTTGGTCTTTACATTCACACACAGACCAATGGGAAAATGCATCTCAGTGTGTTCGTTGTCAACTTGTCTTATGTCATGGATCGTCTGTGCATGGTTATAAAAGCCAGGATGCCTCCTGGCCTGATGTAGGAGTTTGCGCTATTGTACTGGAATATCTGGGAAATACGGCTTGAATGCTGGGATGTTTTTAGGGACAAGGGACAGAATATAGGAAAGTAGGAAAATTGAAGCCATGTAATCATTGTTTACGGAGCCACTAGTTTTGCTCACCAAAGGAGGGAGCCCTGGCTGTAATGCTTCCACACCAGGACTGCTTCTCATGCAGCAGCCTTCTCACACCGCTCAGCCCGGGGCTGCTTGTCTAGCTTATCACCACTTCGTTGTGTGTTCTGGGGCTGTATTTTGTTACTGAGAATTGGGAGAGACAGTTTGATTTCTTCTTCCAATCTTAATTTCCAGTGTAGAGGAGTGACGATTGCCTCACGTATTTTTCCGTGTTCTTCATTTCCTAAAATGTCTGGCTTCATGGTGTTATACCCTGCCCTACAAGTTTTCTTCACTCTTTTATTCAGAATATAGCTCCAGGCCAGGGACACTTTCATTGTTACCCCCTTTTCTCCTTTCCCTGTGAACAGTGAGGGGAAGACATGTCTCAAGTTGCACAGTGGGCTATAAGGGGCTAGCATGGCTATGTTCTAACAACCCGTGCTCTTTCTGGAAACAGGAGGCTGGTTCTGGCACCTACAATGTTTCTAGCACCAGGTGCTTGGTGATTTGGGACACCCCTGCACCCCATCTGATCATGAGAGGAGTCTAATGTTGGGGAAAGAGCATTGGAAAGGGACTCAGGGCTATGTTTTCCAGTTCTGCAGTTAAGTTGGTCAAATAAGTGTGAGTTAAACAAAATTAAAGCTAATTTCTTTACTGTGAAATTTCTAAGAGCCTTTGACATGCACTATCAATCTAAAAAAATTAAATATAAACAGTGTTTCCTAAACACATTTGACCAGGGCACCCTTTTATAACTGAGTAACCTATCAATGCCTTGCTGTACACAGTCTGAGAAGAGCCGAGCTGGAAGTTACTATCACTGCACTTTCTGATCCTGTGTCATCAATCTCCTTGTCTCTGGTTTCTCATATATCCTTGAGGAGGAAACTGCATTCCTGGTGAGAATTCAGAGAGACCACATGGCGGTTTAACACGGAATGGGTGGAGGAGCCCTAACCTAACTCCTTCCTTGGGAAGTTGAAGGCATCTTCCTCCTCTGGGGACTAGTAATGATTCCTAAAAGAACCTGGGGTCTGCTCTTGGCTGTCCAATTTAGGAGAGCGCTCTGGGTGTGAGCAGCACTGCAAAGTCTCCCCTCTGTTTCTGTTGTGTTCTGAAAGGACCCGCGTGTCACACAGGATCTGGATTCTTTCCATGGTCCTCAAGATCCACCGGTGGCGGGTGTGACGGGGCCACTGCCTGCGTGGTCTGCAGGGCTGTCTCTTGAGCCTGGATGTTACTAGCAAGGGTAGGCGGTAGGTTTCACTGGATGGGCTTTTCTCCTCTTGTTTGCAAAACACTGTCAGAAGGTTATTGCCTCCTGCATTGCTGAGGTCCTACTACAGTGTCTGCATTTGATGGAGGTGGGGTAAGGCTCAGAGGGGGCCTTTCCCAAAGGCAAGCAAAACACTAACAAGAAATGTCAGAACTAGCCACACACAGGCATCTCACTTGGTTATCTGAGGCAGGGAAGCAAGCATCTGGGGGCAGGTTGACGTGATGCCCACTTTGAGGCCCACCACTCAGTCAGACACTGCTGGAATGTCATGGCAAAGGGAAGTGGGAAAGTTCCTGGATCAAAGGCATTTAGAAAGTATGTTCTCAGGCCCTCCATTCTGTTCCCATCAGGAACCAAGGCTGAGATGGAAGATGGTGCAGGAGAGGTGGGGAGGGTAACAGAGCACTCCCTTCCCAGCCTGGGCAGGATTAGTCAGAGAACAGGCTGGCGAAAGACTTCCTCAGGTTGCGGATGGTTTCAGCCTTGGCCTCGTCTTCACTTGGGGTCCCACGCTGGGAGGTGTCAGATGTGCTGAGGCTGTTAGTCAGGGACTGGGATTTGCTGAAACAGAAAGGCAAGGGGGTTGGGGAGGACAAGGCCTGGACTCCCCAGGAAAGGACCTGCAGAGGCGTGCCTGGAATCCAGCTGGGTGAGCCCTGTCACTGCAAGGATATTAAGACCAGAAACCAGGCACCCCGACGCTTACATGATGCGGGGGCACCACACATACGAACCTGAAAGGTGCTTACTGATAGCCTCCTCTTTTAGGCACAGAAATTGGGGCTCACAACAAGTAATGGGGGGTCTCCCAAGGCTCACACTCTTTTCACAGAACCTGGCTGCGCAGACAGCAGGCATGACCACTCTTCAGCTTCTGTGTACAAACCCGCTTGGTAAACTGTAAAGTGCAGTATCAACAGGTTGTGGCCATTCCTCCTCTACTTTCCAGCACTGGTTTTGGAATCAGAAGGTCTGTATTCCAGACCCTCTCCATCTGCTCCCTCCAGCCATGAGCAAATAACTCCCTGCTCAGGGCCTCCTTTCCCTCATGGGTGAAATGGAGGGTTGGTCTAGCCCACCCTCAGGCCTCTTCTAGCTCTGACATTCTGGGATTCAATTCCACCCTCTTCCCTGAAGCCTTTATTGCCAGTTTTGGAACTCCCAGGGTACGTACTGTTTGAACAGCAGTGTTTGAACATTCGTGCCAGCCTAATGCTAGGTGACAGAGCTGTAGAGATGAATGAGGTTCAGGCCCTGCCTTCAAGGGGCTCACAGTCTAGTGAAGGTGAAAGACATAGGAAGATGCCATATAAATGTCACAAGTTTCAGAGATCCACACATGGTCTTGTCTTCACATTAAAAAACTGAAATCTTCTTCAAAGCAGGGACTATCTTTTACTCCTTGCTTATTCCACCTGGCGTGTTATCCAGGACTAAGTTCAGAGTAGCCATTTGATAAATACCTGCTGACTTGAATTGAACCAAATAATACGGTAGAGCAACAACCCAGGAGATTTAAGTATTTTTAGCTAGATTACTATAAGGTCAGTGTCCAAACCTGGCTTATGTCCCAAAGCCTGGTCTGTCCTGTGATTAGCTGGGCTGTATCTTTCCACAGGTGAGAGGCTGTCACAGATACACCTGTATACTGCCAGCAGCATTCTAAGCACTAACTGTGCATGAGCTCATTTTAATTCTTATAATAACCCTGTGGGGTAAGTACTATTGTCCCCATTTTGCAGGTGAAGAAGTTTAAGCACAAAGAGGTTACGTAACTTTTCTGAAGTCATGCAACTTTTACGTGGCAGAGATGAAACTGAACCCAACTGCTCTAGAATCTCTGCTGTCAACCACTATACCTACTGCTGGAGGACCACTTTCTAATATCTATCAAACTAAAAATGCATTTATCCCTTGATCCAACAACACATTTCAGGTATTTTCTATACAGTTGATCCTGCACACATAAGAAACAGCATGTTTTTTCAAGGCTATTCACTGCAGACTTCTTTGTAAAAGCAAACCAAATTTCTGTTTATGATGGATTAGATAAGCTATAGTATAACTATACAGTGGAATACTATACAGCCGTGAAAAGGAGAAAATGTCAATGAACTGAGTAGAAGAGCTCCAGGACTTATTGTTAAATATAAAAGTAAGTAGTAGAATGGTATAGATAGTACTACTGACTGTGTAAATAAGTGGGAACATATATTTTTGTATTTGCATGAGGAAACACTGGAGGAACAGCCAAGAAACCTAATAAAAGTGGTCACCACTGGGGAGCAGGGGGGCAGGAAAGCACTGGATGGGAATGAAGTAGGAGTAAGGTTTTTCAAGAAAAACATCAGTATCTTTTAGATCTTTGAACCATGTGAATGTACCACCTATTCAGAAAAATTATGGTTAGTATAACCCATGGGCTGGATGTCCTCTGTTCAATTCTAGCTCTTGTACTTTCTAACAGTGGAAACTTTGGCAAGTTATTAATCTCTTTCTCTGTTTACTCATCTGTAAAATGGGGATAATAATAGTTATTAACTCCTAAGCTTGTGAGAATTAAAAACAAATCAACTAGGTAAAGTGCTTGGTACGCAGTAAATAGACAATAGATGCTTGTGATGAAATTATGATTATTAATATTAGTGCTTGGAGTTGAAGGAAGGGAGAAGCTTTCCAAAGAAAACGCATTTGGGATCTCTCTTTCTGACCTCAAACCAAGAGATGGGCTTGGGAGGAAATAGGAAAGAGGATGTGTATGTGTATCAGGATGGATTTTTTACAAAACGGCAGCAACCCTTCCTCCTGTCCCTGTTGTGTAGCCTTTTACAATGTAACTTTGCAGGTCCTCCTATCAAGAGTCTATTTCCCTGGCAATAAGAACATACATACCAATAATTACGTTAAATGTAAATGGAATAAATGCTCCAACCAAAGACATAGACTGGCTGAATGGACACAAAAACAAGACCCATATATATGTTGCCTACAAGAGACACACTTCAGAGCTAAAGACACATACACACTGAAAGTAAGGGGATGGAAAAAGATTATTTCATGCAGACAGAAACCAAAAGCAAGCTGAAGTAGCACTTGTATTAGACAAAATAGATTTTAAAATAAAGTATCTATTTCCCCACCTCTTGTTTCTGGGCTTCACCATGGAACTTGTTTTACCAAAAGCATGTGATGGGATGAAATGACATTGTGCGGCTTCTAAGGCTGGAATTGAAGAGGCCTTGAAGCTTCCACTTTTGCCCTTTTGGAATGTAATTCTACCATATGATGAAGCTGAGCCCAGCCTACTGGAGGATGAAGCTCAAGGAGAGACAGAGGCTCAGCTGACAGGCAACACCAACAACTAGATGTGTGTAGGAGGCCCTCTTGGACCATTTGGCCCCATTTAAGCTGCCGGGTGACTACAGCCAAATGAGTGATCCCAGGAGAGTTGGGTTGCTAGATTTAGTAAGTAAAAATACTGGATACCCAGTTAAATTTGAAATTCAGATAAGAAACAAATACTTTTTTAGTATAAGTATATCCCATGCAATATTTGAGGGCATACTTATACTCAAAATTATTCACTGTTTATCTGAAATTCAAATCCAACTAGGCAACATGTATTTTATCTGGCAGCTCTACAGGAGAGACCAGCAGAAGATTCTTCCCAGCTGAGCCAAACTCAGAACAAATTACTGAACCAAAAAATTATGAACAAAGAAAATCATTATTTTCTTAAGCCACTAATTTTAGGGTAGTTTGTTATGCAGCAAGAGATAACTGATACATGTATATATGAAGGATCACAGTGGGGTCTAATCTATGCTCTCATCTTGCTGGGTCCTGCCTGCCATCCACGTTCCATCCTCTAGGCCTCCTTCTACCCATTTAAATTCTGAGTGAGGCCTCAGGGGGTCTTCCTCTGGCTCTGAGTTCCTGAGCCAGAGTCAGCTGAGCTCCGCCCACACCCCAAGTCCACCCCATACCCTTCCCAATTCCCAAAGCACTTACTTGAGATGGGGGTGGGGTGGTGCTGGCTTCTTGGACTCTTCACTTTGTTGGGAAGTGCTGCGGCCCTGCACAGGTGGCCGGGGCTGTGAGGTAAGGGTGGTGCCCGGCTTGGAGGCCTGGTTTGGAGAGCTGCCTCCAGATGCCCGGGATAGCTGTGGAGAGCCTGGTGATCTCTGCTGCTGTGGAGATCCAGATGAGGGGCTCAGGGGCTGCTGGCCTTGTGGGGAGAGCCTCTGTTGGGAGGGACTTCCAGATCTTGGGGGCTGAGGAGACTGAGCATGACGAGGGCCCCCTGCAGGGAGAAAAAATTATTACATTCAAAATTCTTTCAGGATAAATATGGCTGTGCACAAATAACACTTCAAGGATGTTCATTACAGTGTTCTTTAATAACAGAAAAACTGAAAACAATTACAAATGCCTAACCATAGGGGAACTGATTAGGAGCATTAAGATACATTCACATAATGGAATATACCATGGTCATCACATACGATATGGCAGAATAATATTAAATGACCTGGGATATTGTTGATAATATATGTTAAATATATACCATTACTTATGAAACAATATTTACAGTTTAATTCCATTTTGACATATATATATACACACACATACATACATACACACACACATATAAAAATCTATTTAAAAAAGAAAGACTGGAAGGTTATACATTAAAACCAGTGTGTCAAACTTTAATGGCATATGAATCACAGGGGCATCTTGTCCAAATAAAGATTCTGATACAGTAGGTCCAAAGTGGTGTTTTGGATTGAATTGTGTCCCCTCACAAAATTTATATGTTGGGGTCTTAAACCCTGGTGTAACTATATTTGGAAATACGGCCTTTAAAGGAGGTAATTATTGTTAAATGGTGTCATAAATGTGGGGCCTTAATCCGATTGGACTGGTGTCCTTATAAGAAGTGAGAGAGACCAGGGACCTGCACACACAGAGGAAAGGCCACGTGAAGATACAGCGAGAAGGGGCTGACTGCAAGCCATGCAGAGAAATTTCAATCCTGCTGGCACCTTGATCTTGGGTTTCCAGCCTCCAGGGCCATGAGAAAAATAAATGTCTGTTATTAAAGCCACTCGGTCTATGGTATTTAGTTATGGCAGCCTAGCAGACTAACACAGGTGGGTTCTGCATTACTAACAAGCTCCCAGGTGATGTTTCTGCTTTCCATGCTCTGAGGAATGTGGCACCGAGCAATGGTTATTACTAAAGTGGTGGGATTGTGAGGGATTTAAATTTGCTTCCTTTTGCTCACTGATATTTTCCACAATGAGGACATACTACCTTTGAAACAATGAAGATAATTACTCCTTACTTTTGAACAGCTCTGTAAACTTTACTGAGAACTTTTAAAAGCAATATATCATTTGATTTAGAAAGAGGCCAGTAGGGAAGATACCTTTCTTCTCATCGTATCGAAGTGGAAACAGACTCGCTATGGTTTCACAGCTGGAAGGGGTAACCACAGAAAGCCCACAGAAGAGCTTGGCTTCACCCTGTTGCTGCACAGAGCACACAGGTGTTCACCTACAAGCCAAGGGGCATCACAAGCTTGGGGACATTTTGGCCGCACAGAAATGACTTTGAGTGGAATTCCAAGGCCCCAAGTAAGCAAGGTACACTCTCCTCACCCCTGAACTCTGGTATCAGGACTGCTGATTGGGAAATGTATTTTGCCAAAGCAGACTAGCTGCCTGCTGGTCTCCTCCCCAGGATAAACTGGCTCCTGGGAGAGTGGGATGCACCATGGTTATTCTCACCATGCTTTGTTGAGAGGATAAGAGACTGAGAGGTAAAAAGGGTTGGGGACCATCTCAGAGCCCTTTCATAATGTGGCTTCCATTCATGTGAGCTCCACAAATATCTACTGTGTCCTATTATGTCCTGGCCTTGGGCTGGGCATCCTCACAGCTCTGTGGGTTAAGCATTATTATCACCCCCATTTTTACAAAGAAACTCAGTCCCAGATATACTGTGACTTACTCGAACAGTCACTTCTAATAAGGTGAAGAGCCTAGGTTCAAACCTACATCTCTCTGACTCAAAGCTCTGTTTTCTTTTGTTCTTCGTTTTTATTTCTTTTACTATATCACACAAGGCAGCAGCATCTTTGTGCAAATTGAGAAAGGTGCTTTCCTCCTGTGGTGGCAGCTCTGAGCCAAGTGCAAAGGGAGCAAGGGCTAGATTTCAGCCAACTTTCCCCCTCAGACGACCTTAGCTGGGCCCTCTGCAGATGGCACAACTTGTGTGTCTGGTGGCCCTGACACCGAACTGGTACCATAGCCCCAGCTCCTGACTCAAGCCTTGCTGTTAACTTGCTCTGTGACCACGGGTAAGTCACTTCTTCTCTCTGGGCTTCTGGGCTCTCATTTGTAGAATGAAGTCGTTGGACTATACATCAAACATCCCTCCCAATTTGAATATTATTGTGAGTCTATGCGACACTTTCCAGGTTGGATTGAACTGTAGCACCAATTAGCAACTGATTGCACGTGGCTTGATTCATCCTTTACCTCTTTCATGACTAAATGTCCTAGTAGACTGGAGAACCCACTGACTGCAAAATTCAAACACCAGTAGGGCCAGGCAGAGTCACATGTAAATAAAGCAGGTGAGTGTCAGAAAAATCATGTAGCTTTAAAAATTTTCCCATGTGAGACACACAGTTCAGAGACCTATCTCTCTAAAGAGGTACACGCATAAAGAAACTGGCCATTGACATTGTGTCACTGTTTAAGTGGCAAGAGGGAGGAGTAGGGCCTGAAGCAAATAGAGGAGTCCTTGCCCTGTCCAAGGGAGCAGCTGTTACTAAATGTCAGCAAGCAGTTGCTACGTAGCAATGCAGGCCCATTGTTTCTAGAGCTCCTGCTCTACCAGGAGATGCTGGAAATCTAGATATTTATGTACAAGCTTTTGATTGATTGATTGATTGATTTATAGCTTTTGATTTTTAAATGTTGGTTTACTTTTTTATTTTTGAAACCCCCTGTAGGTCCAAAAACCCATGTTTTCTACTTTTATCTTAAATCTCCCTTCCTTCCCCCTCTGCCTCCCAAGGCTGATAATATCTTGAAAAATCTGGATGCTCATTCATTCACTTATTAACTATGTGTTCAGCACCTATTACACAGCTAGGATTCATCAAGAGACACTAGTTATTTATTTCAGCTTTTTGGCAAAGCAAACAATTTAGTATTTTTTGTTTGAGCACATATAAAAATATTAACTTATATGTGGAAAGTATTTGCCTAAGCACAGGATTAGTGCTAAAAAATGATGAGGTTCATTAAAAGAAAACTTTACTTTTACTGAGTTAAAAATGAGTAGTGAGTTCAAAAAACAAGTTAATGTGACCTTATTATTTTGGGAACTCAAAGAAAGCATTGTGTTTTAATTAGCCTTGTTATTTTTAATCTGAATATAAATTCAGTGAGCATTTTCTTTAATTATCTTAATTGGCTTTAAATTGATTGTTTTTCAACTCAATAAAAGTGTGTTTAGCCTCATGTCCCTTAAAATAATATCTCTTTATCAAGTGTGTCTCTACTCTGGGCCAGAGAGGAAATGGGAATACAGTAGCTCTCTGTTTTAAAAGTACTCTTTTAAATGTGGTTTAAAAAGTAAGTCCTGGGACAGAGTGGGAAAGGACAGGGTAGGGCAGAGGCAAAGCCAGAGCCTGGCAGGGTGATGAATAAGTCGTTTTTGAATATTTATAATTATAGAATTATCGCCAGGCAGGAGGGCAGTGGGGCTACAGTAGTCATGAGGATTGTTAATGATGACAAACATTAAGAACAACATGTATATTATAATTGTTAGCAAGACACAAATTATTAATAGTGAGTTTTTAATAGTGAAGGTTATGTAAATAGTTATTAACAGTAAATCACCAGTAGTAAGAGCTAGCACCTACCACGCACGCTACCTCCACGCCCCGACACCTAGCTAATTGCTTCACTGCATTATCTCACGGGCAGCTGCCCATAACTAAACAGGGCAGCTGTTATTTCCTCCTCTATCAGAGGGAAAACTAAGGCTCTAAGAAATGATGTAACTGCCTAAAACTGCCAAGGTATGGGACATGGAAGTGGATTCAAACACGTGTGTGTCTGCCTGAAGAAGACAGCAGTGTTCCCTGGTACACAGTTGTATAGGTCATGCAACTTCTCTTTTCTTAGAGCTTTCTGCTTTCCCAAGAAGAGAAGCATAGACGAGAAAGATGAATGGATTGTTTTATCTAACACCTGTTGAAGAGGAAGCCATTTAGTGCCCAAGGCCGATTTTCCCAAGAAGCAATGAATCTGTTACTTAGATAAAAGTGACTGGGGAGGCCGCAGCATGTTAGTAATGCTTTCTTTCTGATAGGTCTTAAAGCAGATCCTTAAAAGATCACCGTGCAAATGCCTGGACTGGCTTCTTGATGTGACGCTGCCCTGAGGATCCAAGCTGGCACTAGAGCAGTGAGTGTGCCTGGGATGTTCTGACTGTGGGGCCGATTTTCTCCCCAGGCCCGAGCGTGAGAACACCGGACCTGCTGGTGTCCTGAGAGAAGGTTAGTTATTGCCTCGAGTTCTTTTCATCTTGTCATCACTGATTTATCCATTCTCTAATAAATGGTGGCATTTATGTAGTAATGCTATTTTTTTTGAGGAACAATTTCAATTGACAAGGTTACGTATAACGATCCATTTTTTCTTTCTTTCTCACTCTAACCTGTTGGCTCATAAATCTATAATCAGGCACTGCTAGCAGTTGGGAAACAGACACTTTGTAGAAGATCTGAAAGGCCAGACTTGTAAACCTGCCATTTTCTTTTGCTTCCTTGGACAAAGCCTAAGCCTCCACTTCTGTAAAAAGGAAATACTGTTGTTTTCACTGTTGACAAGTTGGGAGGCTGAAAATGAGAAAATAAACGGGAAGTCCCTAGCACAGTGCCTGGCACGTATTAGGCACTTAATATATTTGCTTTCAGTCTTCCTTTCCTCCTTTCCTGACTTTAAAGGGGTGACAAACCTCACAGTCTCATTCATTCTGCATATAGAGTGAGTGAACATATGTGGGGATAAAGTATTAAGATGGAGTTTTCCAGAGTGCCTCCTGGAAGTCACATGCAGATCCCTCAGTGCATTTTAGCATCCTTGCTGGATGTTTTCTCTCGGTGGGTGGCTCGTTGTGGGTCCTACCTTGCGTGGGTGGGCGTGGCTGGGACTGTCCCAGCGGAGGCCCCAGCTGGGCTTGCCCGGGGGATTTTGCTGGTTTAGTCTGAGGAGCCTAGAGCAGGAGAAGAGAGAAGAAGCCTGTTGTGATCACCACACCACTTACTTTCTGGGTGGGAGGGCAGGATTTATCAACATCAGTTCATTATTAAGGTAAAACTTACATGATGTGCACAACTCTTCAGTGTATAGCACAGTGAATTTTTACACGTGGATACACATATGTAACCACCACAAATATCAAGACAGAAGATTTCCAGTGGAGAAGGTTGCCCAGTGCCCTCTCCCAGCCAACAACCCCCTTGCATATAACCATTCCAATGTCTGTTATAGGTTTGTTTTTGTGGGGAAAGGCGGGAGCAGTTTTTGAGACCTGCTTATCCAGAAAGCTGGGGAACTAGCAAATTCTTTAGAGAATGATCCAGTAATCCATGGTGAAGACTCTGGAGGGGAGGAGCCCTGTGGAAACTTGTCGAGGTTGGAGGAGGGGGAAATGGGAGACACAATAGTCTCTATTGACGGGAAGCAGACATGGGCGCACACACACACGCACACACACACCCTGCTCCGGCCCGATGTACAGGGCACAGAGCGGACAACTGGCTTCTTATGTTAATAATCTCTGCCCACAGACACCCAAAGCCCAGTTGAGGACAAGATTTTTCTCCCCAGGGTGGTAGAGGGAGGAAGGGACCTTCAGAGCGTCCCAACCTCCCCAGTCAGGAGCAGGAATACCAGCCCCATGTCCAGCCTCATCATACCACATTCCTTTCTCCCCAGGTTGTTTCCTCCCTGGGGACATCTCTTCTGGATCAGGGCTCCCACTCTCAGACAACCATGTGTTTCTCACGGCTAAAAAAATCTCCCTTGCTCCCAAGGACCTTACCCAAGGTCTCAGGGGCGAGGGCACTGTTCCCCCTGGCATCAGGAGTTGGCTCATTTTGGAGACAACTAGGTCGGCCATCAGCTGTTTGTCCTCTTCCACGTGCTCTCCAATCAGGGGCATTGAGCTGTCCATAACCTTCGGGAGAAAAAGGAGTCCTGAGGGACCCTCACACCAGGGTAGCTGGGCAGCTGGGTAGCACATCCCAGGACAGGCTCAGAGCTCAGGACAGAAATGACCACTAGATGGCAATGTTCTCCATGCAAATACCCAGCCCAGTGCCTCCCCGGGGAATGAGCCCCATGGAGACAGTTTTTCTCAGCTCAGTCTAAATCAACTCCGTGAATTCAGTTCAGTTCAGTCTACATTTGCTAGACCTCAGACACGCAACCAAAGGCCAGGAGCCTTTGCTGACCTTTCTTGCTCTTTTCTTTGGGGGAGCTGGTCTCCACCCCTTCTTTCCCATCTTGGCTCCCACCCAGGATTGGGGTTGGCTTCCTGAACCTGGCCCAAGGTCAAGGTTTTCCACAAGGCCAGAAGCAGTGAAAGTGGGTGCTCGATTATGAAAAAAAAAAATGACATGAGTTGGAGTCGTCCCAGGTTTCAGAGAGAAGAGGGAAGAGGCAAGGCCTGTTCTCTAGGGCTCCGGCAGAAAACACTCCTGGAGAAAAACTCCTTCCACAGGGAGCAGGCTGCTTCTCAAAGGAGTGCTTATACTGGGAGGGGGCCTAAGAGATCATATTTAAACATCCACTCTTTTTGCAGATAGGGAAACTGAGGCCTAGAGATGGGAAAGGATTTGCCCAAAGTCACACAGGCCAATGGTCCAGATGATTCCCCAGGCACAGGCAGCTGTAGAAGGTCTTGAAGGGGAGTGAGGCCTTGGCTGGCCCTCTGTCACCTCCCCCACTGTAGGAACCAGCCTGTTCACCCACCCAACCCCATCAAACACACTGTCTTATTTCCCCTTTTCCCAAGCTCTGGACTCACCAGGTTCTCTCTCTTGTCCAGGTCCTTGTGCATGTCATTCCCTCTGCCCACTCCTTACCTATACCCCCTTCTCATCCACCAGGGAACACCTAGCCAGCCCTTCCTCTGGGAAGCCCTCATCTGTTCTCCTGCTGTCCTCACTTTGGTTGTCCCACTGGAGAGCTTACCCCACAGTGCCGTCATCTCCTGTTTATGTGTGTCTCCCCAACCAGACTGTGAGCCCCTGGGTTGGGGATGTGCCCTGTATCCTGTTAGACAGGTGTGCCCTCAAAAAGTACCTGTTGAATGGAGGAATGAAAGGTTCTTGCAATAAATCCTGCTCCTAACGATAAGGATACTAATAAGTGCTATATTTTATTACTATGTGCCAGGCACTGTTCTAAGTGCTGGGTGTGGATTATCTCACACAAATCTCAGAACAGCTCTTTGAGATAGGTATCATTATTTTCCTTATCAAGATGAGAAAGCTGAGGATCAAAGAAGTAGCAAGTTCAAGGACAGGTTGCTAGCAAGTCATGCATGGTCTTTCCATGTCTCACCAATCACTGAACAGCTGCCTGTGCTAAGAACTGGGAACAGGAGACCTGGATTCCAGTCCTAGGTTCTGCTACGGACTTGCTGTGTGAACTTGGGCAGGCTACTTTCCCTCCGTGGGCCTGCTGTTTTCCTCAACAATAAACTGAGGGGTTTAAGCAGCTTCGAAGACCCTTCCAGCTGGGACTTTGAAGGAGACTGGGAGTCTAAAGCACCTACTGTGATTGGGAAGCTGAAAAGCAAATGCAAAGATGTGAATGCAGATGCTATCATGGTCCTGAAAACTGCCCTCAAATTGAGCTCCTTGTGGGTTTGCCCTGGGTCCTTGGCATCACGGATCCCAGCGCCCAGCACAGGGCAGCCTCTCGGTCGAAGTGGGCTGAGTTAAGTTATGACTGTGGAGTCTAAGTGCACACAGGCCTGTCCTTTCTCCCCCTGACCCTGCCCACCCCTTTTTGTTCTGGTTTCTGTTTCCTACATTCCCTGCAGTGGAAAACAGCCGCCACAAGGAAACTGAGGTCATAGCATTTTGGAATCCCCATGGTGGACACAGCCAAAGGAAGTGGACACTATGGTTTCCCCAGGGAAACATTTTTCCAGTGAGCAATGTCGTTCCCTGGACAGGCCATGGAGGGCAAGTTCAAGGGTCTTTCCCCTGAGTATTTCACTGTGAGGAGCTTCACAAACCATGTCCCACAAATTTTATGTTCTCACCATAGAGGTGGCTGAAAAAAATCAGTATTTTTGGATCTCTTCTGCTTTCTTTTCCTGACCGGGGAAAAATACCTTTTATCTTCCTGGTGAAAAAACTCCCCATCTCCCTTGGTCCCACTCTAAACTGAAAAACAAGGGAAACAACTCTGCAATGTTTCTGAGAGAAAAAAATATCTGAAAAGCCATTTTCCCCCTGGAACATTTTTGAGAAGTTTTTTTCTTGTTTTTTAAAGTCCAAACCCACTTTTTTTTTTTTTATGTGAAAGGTCTTTCATTCCTGACCCTCTCAATGTCTGGAGGCAGGGAGCCTGGGCCCACGGGTAAAATTTTTGTTTCCTAAGAGTGAGAGTTGAGCAAACTCAGAGAGGCAGGAGCTCTTGGGGTCAGAGATATTGCTAAAGCAAGAGAGAAGGGGCTATACTCACAGGAGGGGCAGGGAAGGGAGTCCAGGAGTCCTTCATCAGCTGATTGCCAATCCTCTCACTGAATGGAAGCTCTAGGAGGCAGGGTGCCTGCTACAGTGTCCACTGCTCTATCCTCATCACCTGGCTTGGGGTCTGGTGCCCAGAGTAGGGACTCAATAGTGAATGGATGAATGAATGAATGACTGTGTGTGTGCCAAAGCTGAGTTCATGTCTGGTGGTCCTGGTGAGGAGAAACAGAGGCAGGAGGGCCAGGAAGGGTCTTAGGAGATGCAGTGTGTCAGGCATTGATCTGAAACTCCCAGACATCCTCAGGAAGGTGGGAGCCTTGTCCCTCCAGGAAGCAGCCTGGCTCTGGCTTGGAAGCACACGTACAGGCCAGTAGTTCTGCTCCAGATCCCTTCAAAGTCCTCTGAGAAGGGGCTGCTGGGGGGATTTCAAGTACGGTGACCACTGGGCTAGAGGGGTGAGCTGTTTTCTAGAGCAGAACTTAACCTGCAAATATAGATGCAACTCATCCTTGGAAACTACCTGGCCTTTCTGGTGGGGAGGGGTTTGAGGGTTGGTAGCAGGACTGTATCCACCCTGGACTCCCCCCGTTTCACCTCTAAGCTGGCCACTCCTAGGCTCCAGTGTGAATGCCCTCCTGGCATGGCTGGAGGAGAAGAGCAGGGCTCCCACCCAACGAGTCATCTGGTCCTGCTGCGCTGTGGGTCCCGGGAGTGGTGCAGACACATGGGGCTGGAGGACTGGCTGGCTCCTGCGGTCACCCGGGCCATGTGCTTCCCATTAGCCGCCCACACCCCGGGGAGGGGGCAGCCGCAGGGCTCTCCCTCACGTGTCTTGGCCTTGTGTCAGCACCATCCCTCTGCTGTGGTTTGAGGAGAAGGCCACAGAGACGGAGTGCTGGAAGGGGCTCTGGGGGGCTGTGAGCATGGAGATGTGAGGTTGGTGAGAGAAGGGAGAACTCCAAGCCAGAGGGGCATTTTCAGGGGGAAGCAGTGGAGAGTCATGAGTTGTGGTGGGGGGCAGGGAAAGGGAGTCAGGAGGGGAGAGGGAGATTGTGGGACCAGGAGAGACATAGGGAGCCATGGAGGGGAGAGGGGGACTGTGGGACCAGGAGAGACACGGGGAGCCGTGGAGGGGAGAGGGGGACTGTGGGATTGGGAGAAGCATGGAAGAGGAAGTTGTGTGTTGGGGAGTGGCAGGAAAGGAAGGTAATGGAAGGACTACAGAGACCTTAGGCTACAACCCTGAAAGGGTTCTTTGGCTTGTGAGAGGTATGGGCTGCAGGAAGGTTGTGGAAGAGATTCTGGGACTCAGAGACCCTCTGACTGTCTCTCTTACAATTATATTTCCTCCATTTACATCCTTGCACGTCTGTGTTCCCTTTCTTCATGTTCAATGCCCTGCCATTACTTGTTTACCATCCTTCCCTGCTAGCCTGAATACTCCATGTCTGTCTTGTTCAGGGCTGTGTCCCCAGAGCCACCCTCATGCCAAGCCCACAGGAGCCCCCAAGTACATGTTTGTTCAATGAACAGACAACGGAATCTCTGCATGGTGACTAGGGAAGTGTGCCCTCTTTACACATTTGTACGCTGAGAAAATTTAAGAGGCCCGAGGGGACAGAATCTTGCCAACTCTTGGCCTGATGCTCTTCCCCTACTGTTAGGCCCATGGGTTGCAGAAACCTGTCAAACCTCATACCCAGACCTCTCAAGGCCTTGCTCAGAGCCCCTGGGAATGAAGATGTAGCCAAGAATGGGGATGAGGCGTATGTGAGGGCAGTGGGTAAGGAGCCTCTGGGAGCTGCTCGCCAAGGCCTGGGCTGTATGTGCCTCGGCCATGGACAAAGACACAGCTGACCATGCTGGAGGCCACACCTGGACTCATTCCCTCTGGCATGCCTGCCCAGGGGTGGGGGCCAGACCAGGCCTGCACCATCTCTTACCTCAATGATGTAATCTCTTCCATCTTTGCTGTGGACGGCCTTGACAGCACAGATGTCCAGGCCACCAAACATCTCTGAGCAGCTGTCCACCCATAGCCTATACCTGCAGGGATGGATAGACAGAGAGTGAGCATGTGGGACAGGGAACAGGGAGAGGGAGCAGGAGGAGAGAGAGGCAGAGACAGAGGGATGGAGAGACACAGATAGACCACAGAGAAAAACAGGCTATGAGACAGATAGTGAAACACACATGTACTCATTCAGAGATGGAGAGAGACAGTAAGACAAGAAACAGAGACACAGCAAGAGAGACAGAAAGACAGAGAGAGACAGAGACACAGAGGCAGTGGGAGAGACAGAATGGATAAAAAGGGAGGCAGAAACATAGATGGACAGTGAGAGAGACAGAGAGAGGGAGAGAGACTAGAAAGAGTGCCAGGAGGGCAGGAGAGAGGAAGGATGAGGGGGAGAAGGAATGAGAGTTGGGAGAGATCTGAGATCTGACCCCACCCCACTAGGACTTTGCTGGCTCCACAGTATTGGGGAGCTTGCTCTGACCCCATCTGGAGCCACCCCAGACACCAAGCTGCCCCTGAAGTCCTTTTCCCTTGAGAAAGATGCTTGAAGGGCCCCAGAAATCCCTTCCAGGCCGCCCTCCCAATCCCAGCCTGCAGGGACAATGGGTGCTTTCTCCCCCTGCCTGGGGTGCACAGGCAAGGGAGCCTGGCAGGCTGCTCCCGTCTGGCCCTGGGGGCCTGGCCCTCTGGACCCACTGCTTTTGTTCTCTTTCCAGCCACTTGATGGCTGCAAGGCCCGTTTGCTTTGCAGAAGATCTCAGTGCTGGACTTTGACCCTGCAACAAGGGGATGATTGTATCTGGAGAGGTCTTCCCGGCCTTGCACTTGGCTTCCCTCGTGGTGGCTGGATTTTGAGTCACAGGGGACTTTGTGTCAAAGTTCTTGCTTCTCTCCCCACTCTCCAGGGTCACATGGGGCACGCCTGCTCTGAGATCTATTTGTGTCTCTGAGCCATAAGGCCTGGAATGAGGAGAGATCATCGCTGAAGTGTTCTCAGAACTTATCCGCTAATGCCCCTTGAGGCACTGAGGGTACTGCCCATGAATTTGCAGAAGGGAAAGTGAATTCCAGGCCTGAGCAGACCCACTCCCATGGTAGGCTCCTGCAGAGATGGCCTAGGTGGCCTGGGGTTGAACAGAGCCAGAGAGATAGTGACCTGCTGCAGACATCTGTGAGCAGCTTGTGAGACACTGGGGAAGGCCGGGCTCACGTTCTGGAAAGGCTATGAAGAAAAGGGCCATGACTGTCCCATGAATGCCCGCTAGGGGAAGGTTATGACTGCCCAGACCAGGTAATTCAGTTGTGCCAGGTAATAAGCACAACTCCCCTGAGTCTTGTTAGCATAGGTGGGTATCCAGATTGAAGTGCCACCTGGGATTGACAGGAAGGGAAGGAAGCCAACATTGACAATGCCCCTCCCTGCCATGGGCCAGCACTGGGTTAGGTACTGAACATCCCTCTCTCATTCAGCCCTCTGACTCTGGTATATTACCTCTAATTAAAAGAAGTTAAAGAAGTTCAGAATGGGTAGTTAACTTACCCTGTGTAACACAGCTTGGAAGGGGCAGGACCACTCACTTTCAGTCATGCTGCTTCCTCAAGCTTAGAGCCCAGAACCAGAAATTCCATGAGGACAGTGACCATGTTATATCCTTCCCCTAAGTCTCACTCAGTCATTGTTGCTATAGCAGGGTGGGCCCAATCCAATCTCTAGGGGAAGAGACATGGCATAGGCCTACCTAATTGCAGCACTGCAGCTTTCTGGGTCACAGTGATTGGTCCAGGGATGGTCATGTGACCTAAGCCAGGCCAATCAGTGAATAAGAAACTCAAGTCCAGGCTTTATTGAATTGGTTGGGAAAGAAGTCTCTTTCTGCTGGACTTGACACGATCAGGATGTAAGCCTGGAGCTGACCGGAATGAAGTCAACACAGAAGCAAGCTAAACTGAAGTGGGTAGAATAAGTTTTAAAGTCCTACCTGGAGCTTTATCTCTGGAGTTTTCATTGCCACAAGCCAATAAATCCCCTCCTTGGCTCAAACCAATATGATTTGTGTTCTGAAACTTGCAACTGACACAGAGTTCTTAAAGGGAAGGATTAGATCTTTTCATCTCGGCCTCTTTAGTGCTCAGCACAACATGGCATGCAGTAGGCACTCAATACATGTTCACTGAACAGAACTTTCTGACCCCAAAGCCCACACTTTGTCCACAGTCATTGAATGCTTGCATGCAAGGTCACTGGGCACGCAGGAAAGGATGTCTGTGTGCTGCTGGCCCAGAGCAGGTGACTAGCCCTTCTTGTTTAAAGGAAGGAAGACCTGGGGGCCCTTCAGCCAGACTGCATCCCTGCCATATTCATGATTCATAGGAAATCCACCTCTCCCTCCTCGTATTGAGACAGGAATAAGTCTGAGAGGAGTAGACACCCCAGTAGCCCTGGTGCCCTTACAAGGATGCTTCCATGCAGCTGTCAGAGCAGAAAGAGACTGGTGAGGACTTCCTGCTCTCTTCCAGCAGCTAGGCAGGTCCAGAAAGACCCCTGGACTTGGAGTCAAGATATCAGGGTTCTGTTCTCAGCTCTGTCATTGATCAGTTCTGTGACCCTGGACAAGTCAACTTCCCTCTCTGAACTTTCTTCCCCATCTGTAAAATGGGGTTATTATAAAACCTTCCTTGCAGACTGTTACGGGAAGTAAAGGGGATCATGCCTAGGAACATGCTCTGTTGGCGGTAAGACACTGGCCAGAGGGTGAGATGGCATTACTTACAGGGTCCTTGTTGTATCCCTATCCACTTCCCATTATGGCTGGTGCATCTCCCTAAACACATCCTTTGTCTCTTACCTCTCTGTCATGGCCACCTGCTCCAGCATGGCAGAGCCTGTGTTGGCCTTCCAGTTTCCAGAGATGGAGGTTCTCCTGTATCAGAACAAGAAACACAGTGAGGACATTAGGGATGCTTGTCACTGATATGCTTTCATTTTTTGTGTTGGCTGTTAGGAGGCTCTGATTCACATATCTGGCTTACATTATGACATGTATTCTTAGGTACACATTCTGTCCTCAGATTTTTTTTGTTTTTATTTCCCTTTATGTTGATTGCCTTACTTGTTGGATCATAAGTATCTTTTTCTTTGGCACGTTTAAAATCTAAAAATTAAATAAAAAAATGCCTACACCATCAGATTAAATCCTTCAAACTTTGGCCTTCTGTTTTTTTCTGAGTGGGAGATAATAAGGTTTCTTCATTGATTTCTGCTTTGTGGTGGTACCAGGAATTGAACCCAGGACCTCCTGGGTGCTGAGCATGCACTCTACTGCTTGAGCTATACCCTTCCCTCTGGCCTTCTGTTTTTCTGAAGAACTAGGATAGTAGAGCTCCTGGTGACTCTGGAATTTTGTTTTTGAGAGTCTCATACAGTAGGCAAAATGATCCATGGAGAGAAGTGATTATTTTCCAAGGTGAAGAGCCCTTGCCTTTTCTGCTCCAGGAATAACTGACCTCCTTTCAGGTGCTCCAATGCCTATGGCACTTTCCTGTGTTTAGGCCTCCATTCACCTTCTTCCCTTTGCCTGGTCCAGTCTTCACCTCCATCTTTGCCTCCCTAAGTCCTGCTCATCCTTCAAGTTTCATCTGAAATGTGACTTCTGACAGCACACCTTCCCCAATAAGAACAGACCCTCCTCCACTACACCCCATACCAATGTTTAATAATGCTTATCTTACTTGTAATGACTGTTTTAGTCTGCTGTCTTCTCTGAGGGGAGGGAACATATTTGACTCATCCTCTATAACTCTCGTATCCAGTGGTCCCTGGCATGTAGTAGGTACCCACTAATTACCTACTGGGTAAGGGACTGTGTATGCTGAAGAGAAACCCAGACAAACTATCTCTAATGGATTCAGCAAACGCTGAATGGATTTAAACAAAGTGGCAGAGGTAAAATGATTTGTTTCATGACCAAGGAAAGGCACGTGGTTGAAGGGTGAACCAGGAGAGGAATTGCTATAAAAATGTCTTTCTAAAAGAGAAAAAAAATGTATCTGAGGACAGCAGAAACTGAGAATAGATGGTGGAGGAGTCCTAATGACTAAGGATTGCAGTGACACTGATAAGATTCATATCAGTTCAGTTCAGTTCAGTTTAGTTCAGCTCAATGCAATGCAATTCAATTCAATTCAATTTGGCAAACAATCCCTGGGCCACCCCATGTCCTGGGTACTGGACTAGTCTGAGTGTGCAGTGATGGCCCCTCCTCTGGCTGCCCACTATCTTGAAGGGTAGACGATCCTAAAACCAGAGTATAGGCATGGTAGGGTTAGCAGTACACACGAGGCATGAAGCACTCCAGGGAAGCGAAGGAGAAACCAGTCACTTAATGTGACCGCAGATGGCAGTAGATGAGATGTGCCTGGGAGGATGAGTAGGATTTGGTAGAGTGGGATCTGTATGGTGACAAGGGAAGGTTAAGAACTGACTTGAGTCAGACGGATGTGAATTTGAATCTTGGTTTCAGCATTTTCTAGATATATAACCATGGACAACATCTCTGAGTCCTTATTTTCTCATTGGTAAATGGGAATAATTATAGTACCATGCTTATAGTGTACTGTGTGGATTAAAGGAAAGATTCCCAGAAATCTCTTAGTACAATGGGTGCTACTATTATTTTTCAGTAAGTGAGAAATGAAAGCCTTCTAATGCCAAAGGCAGCAGGAACACAAGTCAGATTGATCTTCCAAGAAGATAATGATAGTGCTTTCTATGCTCAAGGCATGGGTCTAAAAGCTTTTTAAGCACTGGCTTATTTCAGCCTCACAAAACTTAATGAGATGGACATTATTATTATCATTCCCACCTAACGGCAGAAGCCACCAAACCATATCTGAGAAACTCCATGCTCTTAACCATGACTCTCCACAGCAGAGCCCATCACAGATTTGAAGGAGTCAGTTGGCCCAAATGTGATGCAGCTGCTGGAATGTAGGATGGAATGCAGACTGGAACAAAAGACTTTACCTTTATGACAAATGCATGATGTTGAAGAGGGATGGGATGAATGGAAAAGTGCTGACCTAAGTAACTCTGGAAATTAGTGAAAATGGTATGAGTGAGTACAAAAGGAACTGTAGAAAAGTCCTGTACTGTACTTGGTGAAGCTGTTTCTCATGGGGCTATGGCTTAACAGTTCTGGAACTGTACACATATACTGGGATTAAACAAAGACGTAAATGGAAGGGGGATGGTGGGAGCTAGGTTTTCCTCTGTTGGAGTGGGAAGTCACAGATAAGCAATCTGGGAAGGCTAAGATGAATCATGCAGTACTAGATGAAAGTCTGAGACATCAATATAAACTCCGTTTAGCTTTAGCTAAAGATGGATATATATAGAAATAATTACAGACATGCGTGTGTACACGAGTTGAGATACACACATATTTCCTAGCTCTGTCTGCTGAGAGAACTTAGAAACAATGACACCCAGTAGCAACAAGCACAAAGGCCCGAGTGCAGGGCAGGAAGTGGGCCAGAAAAGACGCTGAATGGTCAGGGGCGGAGAGGGCATTTTACACTGAGGTCTGACACAAACCCCCTCCCTCGGACATCAGCCAACCCAGGGTCCAGGAAATGTCATAACTAATGACAAATTGGAGCTGTCGGGGCAGAAAGGCTTAGCATAAAGAATGTGGCAATGAGGTAATCTTCAAGAAGAAAAACTGGGACAAGGTGTCGTCAATGTCAAGTGGAAACGCTAACAATGAGGGGAGGAGGGAAATGATATCATGACGGATGGTGGAGGCCTCAGGAATGCACTGGACCATGTACTGAAATGTTCTCCAATTCAGAGGGGCTGGGGTTGACGGTGAGGTGATCTTATCACCCAGAGGGCATCTGAGAGCAGTGACAGGTCTGCCCTGGCTTGTGAGTTGGAAGAGAGCAATTGGCAAGACAGACCAGAAGTATTTCTTGGCTCCATCCCTTTCCTGGCATATTTCCTTAGAGGTCAAGTGGCTGCATCTTCTGCAGTTTCCCAGGTAATGGCAGAGTGGAGTGGTTGCAACAGAGACTGTGTGGCCTATAAAGCCTAAAATTACCATCTGGCCCTTCATAGGAAAATGTTTGCTGACCCCTCATCCAGCCAATCCAGGTAGTGTAAGAGCAACCCTAGATAATACAGATATGAATATGTATGGCTGTGATCAATAAAACCTTACTTACAGAAACAGGTGGCAGCTGGATTTGGCCTGTGGGCTGTGGTTTGCTTGCCCTGACCTAAAGCACAGCTCCATCACACAGAAGCACACAGAGAGACTTTCCAGAGCTAGCTGTGGCAGTCCTCAGAGACGGAGCCATGCAATCAGTGCTCTGTATGCTTGGAAACCGAGCACTGGTTGCCTCTCTGGGGTCTCATCATTTCAGTGGAAACAATAACATTCCAAAGTGAGACAGAGAAGACTTGGAGCAAATAATACTTCTCTGAAGACTGAGCCCTTCACCTAGTCAAGAACTCCTACTCATCCTTTGAACCATACCTCTAGTGTTAGTCATCCTTTGCCTGACCCACCCCTGGGATGAATGCATTTTGGATTTTGTGGCATTCATTCCTTTTATTCTAGTCACAGAATTTCTATGTCCACTGGATAATGACCCTGCCCATATTGCATGCCACCTTGGTGGGCCTCTTCCTACTGGTTGTCCGCCTTCCTCTAACCAATAAATATGTGACCACAGTGGGACTAATCCATACTGTTTCCATGAAATCACAATCTTGAGTTAAGCCATGAAAATGATTAGGGCAGATTGACTTCCTGATGGGATGCCACGATGATTGTCTATTACTTCTAGCTATCCAGATTCTTGGGGCTTCCCTGGATCCTAATATTTCTGAAATTGGTAGTTTGGGTTTTTGTTAGTTAGTTTTTTTTTTAAGTTTCTAATCATATGTAGGTTTCCAATAAATTCCCTTGAAAAACTCCACCAAATTAGATGTGGTTTCTACTGCTTGCAGCCAAAGAAAGCTGATATAATCTCCTACCTGATCTTATTTGTCCCAGAGAAACCCTTTTGCAGCCCATGGCACCAGAGCCATCCTTTTTTTTTTTTTTAAATAATAAATACAGGTCAGATAATGCCACTTCTTTGCTCGGAAGGAAAGAGAAGGAAATCCAAAACCCTTAGCAAGGCTTCAAGGCCCTCCTTGATTTGTCCCTAAGTCTCTCTTCCACGTTTGCCTCCTATGACATACATCCCGTATATACTTGCAAACATGCCAAGAGTCTTTCTCTCTCTGGGAGGAAACAGCCCTCATTTGGTTAGAAGGATTTCTATGCTGGGATAAACTATGATGGAACATCAGCCTTCAGTTGTACTGACCAGAGAAGAAGGGCAGTAAAGGAGACAGAAAGGGAGAATAATGATGTCCCTACAGGATCACTGCCCTGCTGGACATGTATCTATACTCTCTGTCCCTCTCACACTCTGCTCCTACCATTCCCCCCAGCTCCCCAGCCCTTGCCCAGGGACTCACATGTATGCCTTGTAGTTGGATCCAATTTTCTGGATGCGAATGTCGTACTTGGAGTCGATGAAGGCCTCGGTGGTAGCATAGGTTTTGGCCATAGCCACCATGCTTGTGATGTCCTGGTAGTCATGCTGGTTTTCTACTTTGATCTGTGTGGGAGGATGAGGGTGTAAGTATCACCCACCCAGCGTTCACTAAGCACCTACCCAGTGCTGGGACCCAGAACTGCACATATAATGACCTTGAGAAGATCAGATGCCTGGCAAATAGGAAACAATTCACTCCACTACTTCCTGTGGAAGAGAAAGGCAGCATTCCACTTGGGGGAGTCAAGGGAATCTTTATAGAAGGGGTGATCTTGGAACAGGGTTTGGAAAAATAAATGTGATTCTCAGATGGACTACAGAGTAGGTGCACTCTGTGGAGAGCATGGAGGCTGGACAATGCAGAGGCAGGAGGAACCGGTGTGTGGGGGGGTGGTCTAGTCATTCAGACTGGCCAACGTGGCAGGAGTGGGATGCCTGAAGGGAGTCTTCATGGAATAGATATGGAGGGCCTCAGCAGCTTTGGTAGGGGCTAGGATGCTAGCCTGAAGGCTCTGGAAAGCCACTTGAAGGAGAAGAGCTTAAACAAGAAAGTCGCCTAATTTGTGTTTTAGAAAAATCACTTAAGCCGTTGGATAGAGGGCTGGATGGAAGGGTGTGATATGGGGTAGAGAGAGACCAGTTAGAAAGAAGAGAGCGTGTATGTGTGTTTGTACATGTGGTGTGCATGTGCAAGGTGTGTGCACATGCACTGCGTGTGTGAAGTTTTTGGAAGATTGGGGTGTGTGGAAGGTATGGTTTGTGGTTTATGTATGTCGTGTGTTTGCACATGTGATGTGTGTGATGAGTGGTGTTTTTGTGTGTGCAGTGAGTGTGTGTATGTGTGTGTGGGAGTGTGTATGCACTGGACACGGCCAGCTCTGCTAGACCAAGGCCTGGGGGAGAAACTCACTCACACTGTTTACTGGGCAGAGGCCAGGAACATGGGGTGGTGCCCTGGGGTCAGGGAGAGGTCTCAGGAGAGCTTCCAAGGCCAAGTGCAGGGGACGAGTCCAAGGCTCCGTGATAGTGATCTCAAGACATAACAGAGGCTGATTCCCAGCGCCTGTGGACAGCTGGGCGGGTGCCCCCTCCCCTGTCACCCTCACCCGGAAGGCAGAGGGGTTCTGATGCTAGGCCAGCAGTGAGCAGGGGCCAGATCCCCTGGGGGCCTGGGTGGGTGCTGAGCAGCCTGTTTGGGAGGCAGTCCTGTCCTTACAACCTCTTCTATCCCTTTCCTGCCTGCTCTTCAGTCTCAGCAGTGCCCTGACTACACCATCCCTCCATGATGATGCCCATCCACATCTGCCACATCTTCACAACTTACAAAGCATCTTCACAGCTTTCCTTTGGTACCTGAAACAGAATTATGAGGCAGACACGGTGGGCATGATTATGAGCATGTAACAGATGCAGAAACTAAGATTTCTTACTTGTCTAAGGCTATAAAGTAGCTAAACACAAAGCTGGGAATGAAACTCAGCATTCCAAAAGTACAGCTGTTCTTTGAACCATCTCAGGGTATCTACAAGTGCATGTCTGCTATTCCACCCAGTAGATTGTAAACAATGATGGGGAGGGAGGCTTGGAAAACCTCTCTTCTTGACTCCCTGTGCATCCCAGTTTCAGTGGCAGGGTGCCTCCTCCCACTGGAGGCTGACCCTATCCTTTCTTCTAGGTCCTCTAAGGCTATGACTGCTTGTTCCCTCCTTCCTCAGTAATAGGACCCTTAAGTTTTATCTCATCATCTGGTCTCTCAGCTAAAGATTACTTTGTCCCAGTCTCCCTTACAGATAGATGTAGCCAAGTCTCCAAGTCTAGCCAATAAAAAGATGAAGAGACATTATGTGAGCAACTTCTGGGTGGTGACTTTAAGATAAAGGGAATCTTCCCTTTTCCTCTTTCTTCTACCTGGCTGGGATGTGTACATGATGGTGGGAGTTGCAGCAGCCTTCTTGGACCACAAGATGGAAGCTGCAGGTTGAGGATGGCTGACTATTAAGGTGGAAGGAAGCTGGACTCCCAACACCATGGAGTCACTGATCAGCCTTGACTGTGTATGCTCTCAGATTCTCATGTCAGAGAGAAGTAAATCCTAATCTTGTTTAAGCCACTGTTATTGTGGTCTTTGTTAAAGCAGCCAAACGGTATTTCTGCCATATATTTTTAGTCTCTTGCTCTTCACTGATTATCCTTTGGATCAACATGATCAATGAATCCACTAATCTCAAACTGTTCCTGCTTTTCAATACCTCAGTTACCCACTGCTCTCTCTGTCTCTACATCCTCATTTCCCACTCACTCCTAAACCCACTCTCTGGATTTCACTCCCCACCATTCTAATGAAACTGATTTGATAAAGGTCATCTTTGACCTCCTCACTGATAAATCCAGTAGAGTTCCCTTTGGTCCTCATCTTGTTTTGGTCCTCTGTAGTGTCTGAAGTCACTGAACTTTTCGAAATTTGGTTTTCACCCCACTATTCTCCTCTGGTTCTCTTCTTTTTTTTTCCTGGCAACTTCTTCACAGTCTCTGTTGCCTCCTCTTCCTCCAGTTTCCCCTTGGGTGATCACAGTGTTGTATTCTCAGCCAACATTTGGGACCCATAGAGAGAGTTAGACTGACCGAAATGAAACAATGTGGGTGAGAGCTTGTGGGGACAGCTTGTCTAATTTAGTTTTGTCACTGGGTGGATGTGAAAAGGACCAGAACTACTTTTGCACCTTAGTTTCCTAGACAGAACAGCATACACTGCAGGCTGTCTCAGAGACCTGGCTGTGTACAACATCCACTCTCTTCTGTAGCCATGAAATGCTTTGATCTAGGGGTGCATGCCTACCCAGAATAAATACTACACTTCCCCATCTCCCTGGCACCTGTGTGTGGTCACGTGATCATGATCGTGTAATCATGTTTTGGACAATGGGATGTGAGCAGAACTTCCAGATTTGCCGTTAAAGGGAAGTGGGTGGGGAGGTGCTTTTCACTGCCTCCTTTCCCGTCCTGCTGGCTTGAGTGGGCATCACTGTAAACCTTGTGTCTGAAGGGCAACACTCCAGAACAGGATGATCAACAGGATGGAAGGAGCCTGTTATGTGACAGGGAAAGTCTTAGCTTATTTAAGCACCTCAGGTCTTTGTTATAGCAGCTGAACCTTATTCCTAAGTAAATATTTGTTAAATGAATCATGCATATATTCATTTATTCACAGGAGAGACAAAAGGAAGCAACAAGAGAACGTATAGATGTATGGGTTTAATTAATTAATTAATTAATTAATTAGTGCTGGTCTCATCTCCCTTTGTGAGCCCTTCTTTCCTACTTTGTCAGGTGGTTTGGGGGTGGGGGGCGCTCATCCTGCCCTCTCCAGGACTGAGCATGTGACCCAGGTTTCTCATACATAGGCTAGTAATTTTACTCTCAAGTTGTATGATGTCCAAGTCCCATAAAACCTGGCTTAACCTCTGGCTCCACCCATGTCTATCTCCCCGCTAGGCTGTGAGCTTCTTGAGGACAGAAAATGTGTCTTATTCCCAGTTGTAACACGGGTGCCTGACATATTGCAGATGCTCCAAACACGTTTGCTGGATTGATTTTAAGAAGGCTGGATAGAGATCTGCTTGTAAATTGGAAAGGGGCAGAGAGATGGAAGAAAAAATAAGGGAGCTTGGGAAAAGGCAAAGAAAATGTGTTTCAAGGAAATGTGTTTTATAAGGTGAATTTTTCTGTAAATGCTCAGGCTGGATTCCACACTTACAGCTTCCTATTGTAGCTCCAGTGGCGCAAGAGGTTAGTGCATGATACAAGAGGTTTACAGCTTCCATCATGAACCTTGAGAACCTGATGAAGTCAGGGACCCAGGAGAAGGGAGCAGGTGGCCTGGTGAGTCAGGGCTGGAGGGGATTCTGGGCTGGTGCTCAGGCCACAAAAGTAGGTGGGGTGAGAAGGTATTAAGGACTGGCAGTCACTGGGGATGGGGGATGGCTGCTGGCCCAGGGCAGGAGTCGTGGCACCTCGCTTTATTTCACCTAGCTGGAAATCCCTGTAAGTGTTCACAGAGACAAGCTGAAAACAGGAAGCCCTAAGTGAGCTGTGATTCAAGATTACCCATTTGCTGCTTTGGGGACCTGTGCTGAGGTCCCCGTGGCCTCCCTGACTCGAGACTCACTTTCATCTCACCTCCCTCTCTCCTCTTCCCTATCTCTCCTTCTTTCCTCCTTTCTCCGCCTTCCTTGACTTTTCTTCCTCTCCTCCTCCTCTCTCTCGTCCTTCCTCTCTCCCACATCCACTGCCTTCTCTCATCTTTTTCCTTTTACTTTTAATGTCTTCTGTCTCCTCTTTGTCTCTTTCCCTCTGCATTTTCCCTTTGTCACCTCTTACTTCTGTCTTTTTCCAGTCTCTCCCTTTCACTTCTTTCTCTCCCTTCATTTCCCCTGATCCCTTCTCAGGGCCCATCTCCTTCCTCCTGCTTTCTTTCCATTTTGTCTTCATCCCTGCCTCCCTGTCTCTCCTACCTCTTCTTCCTCACTGTCTCCTCATTCAGTTTTGCACACTTTCCTAGTCTCCTGCTTTTTGAACTGCTTTCCTTTCTCATATGAGTGTGTGAGTGTATATGTGTGCACACATGTGCTCCATCTGCAGGGTGAGCAAGCAGAGAAAGTGGGAACAGAGGGAGAGAAACTGGGGAGAGGAGTCAGGAGATGATTCTAAATTCACCTCATAGGTGTCCTATTCCAAATCCCAGTCTGGGATGGGAAAACCATCTTCTACAGCCTCAGCAGACTATGCACTATTTGCTTGAACAGGATGCTCACTACTAGGCAAGGCCACTCATTTCATCTTAGGGAGCTTGTTCTACTGTACATTTGACCAAGAGTGAACAAATGGCCCCAATTATTGATCATGCAGAGTAAGTCTTGGCCCTCTGCCTTGTGTCTGCTTTTCATCCACTGGAAGAGGGCCGCCCAGGTGTGTCTAAGTCCCTCGTCCCTCTCTTCTTTATACATCCCAGTGTGAGCTGGTTCCAGATCCTCTACTACCTTGAAATGCTCCCCTTTGATATGCTG